CGGTTAGCGCTAGGCGTGTTGTCACGTTTGTATTGTATCACTGTAAGGACGACGCGGGCGTATTCTACCTCGCGGATGTCTCGGTAGTTTTACGCTATATCTATTCGATTATGTATTTATCTACTCACTTACCGTTATTATCTTATGCGTGTATATTTCTCGTATCTACGATCCCGGTAATAATAACGCTTGAATTGCATGACTGTACGTTTTTTATTACCTATTGTCGATCGTCGTTAATCGTGAGTATCGTCGTACTGAGAGTTGAGCGCTTGGTCCGTCGATGCCGTCTCCCGCTACGTACACGCTTGTTCTCGAAGACGCTCCGCACGGGTGCGCTTGGCCATTGTGTCGATCCAGTACCTAGTGGTTCCAGGCTTGCAGCAGCAGGCCCGCACCTAACACCGCCGCCTTCTAATTTTCGCATGGAATAGAATCCACCACCCCTATACGTTTGGCTCATCAGGTATTTTTTCTCATTATACTAGTTGCTCCTCGTGTGTGCTATGCGTGGTATTTCATCGGTACCGCTGCGGGTGTCGACGCGCGTCGCTCCCGCGTTTTCTTTCGGTCGCACTATCTTTTTATTTATTTTAACGCTTTCTGTTACATGCCTTCCGAATGACCGCTTCGGCTGTCGTCCGCATTGCAAATCTTTTGTCGCTTTTTGTATCGGGATGGAAAGGCTGTGCGCCACCAAACGCGCCCTATGTGGTGTACACGGACGAGCGCGGACAGGTAACGTGTGCCGCGTGCCGCCTCCTGCCTCGCCCCGCACAGCGCACCGCGCACCGCCCCCGGCCCCGGCCGCTTGCCTCTAACTCCGCAGACCGCCTCCTCACTCCGCCCGACGCTTATTAACGCTACATGGATTGTGTTCAACGCGATACTTCCCTACACCGACTCTATCCCACTGTCCAAGCCTCGGCCTCCAGAGCGCTCTTTCTAATCAGCTAGCTTTTAAAGCGTGAGAAGAAATGCGTACAGTGTCTAATCAAACGCCTGTAATTCTCGCTGCTACCTACCGCTTTAAGTTCACCTCTGACGATACGACTGAATATAACCAAATAGACATTTTCAACACATCATCCTTTTCCTCGATGTTATGTTAAATATTCTCTCAGGTATAAAAATACACGTGCTTCCTCTTCGCATTTTATCGAGTACTGTTTTATAATGTTTTGGTTTGACGCTTCTTTTAGATTTAGAAAAGATTAGTTGACTATGACGTTGAGATACAAGATTTAAACGTTTTACAAGCTTTTAACATGCATATCTATGTATCGAATTGTTCGCAGGCTTGAGGTGCGCTCGGTGACTAAGCCTTTTTAGCTAACCTGCATACTGACCTTTGTGAATTCACCTTTTCCGAATCGACCGCATTTGATAACTGTCACGAAATAAAATTTGTCATGTAAACATTTTCGTAATCCTCGACGATAGGCTCGTACTAAAATACCTATGCTTCACTTCTCTGCATTACCATAACCGAAATATGTTTTATTATAAAAAATTGCTTTTACGCTTCCGTAGAAATAGAAATATTTATTTTTCGCATCAAATGATTTATGAAGTTATAATTGACTATTAAAAGGTTCTTGGCTCGGTGACGAAACCTTTGTGCTAATAGACCGAATTCGAAATTAACTAAAGTAACGACATTCTTGATGTTCATGCCATGCAAGTTGTTAAAAAAATGTTTATATTTAATGATGATGTAACGCTGTGTAACAGTGTAACACCCGACGCTAGCTTGTCCGGCGTTCGGGGATTGGTGTAATCATTCCATCGACCATCAGTCATTGTGCTGTAACTGTCTCAATTATATGTTTAAATCGAACAGTTGATGCTACAACTTACTCGAGGACTATTAGTTTTATATAGCGAGACATACTTGCTTGCAAAATGTGGAAGAAGTCACTCTACAGTATTGCCTTGCTTACACCCGGTAAGATATAATCAGCTTACTATGATATCCTCAGTATAAGTGATTTCCTATGATCTCAGGCCTATACTGAAACACCGCATGATTGCATGGCCCGACTCCACGGCAATGTTCCCTTCACTTGCTAATGAACACCGCAGAGCGTTGTTGTTTCAGTAAAGGTCAACGATGATTAATTTTAATTAACGAAGCCGATATTTTTGTCCTGTTAAAAAGTTGACTTGATGCATACAAAGCTTGCAATGTTATAAACTTCTCATTTACGAAAAGCATAATAAATACTTTGCACCTTACTCTATTCATGTTGTAGTTAACTTTTTAACAGATGTTTCCGTAATTCACCTTCCGCTTGTGTCAACTATCAATAGCAATGAAGGGGGTCTCTCGATTTTCGTTTGTTTGAAAATTAAAATGTAACGCCTAATCATTTTTAACATGCGTTTTTGGTAGTTGAAACGGTGGTGAAGTAAGAAAATTCCAAGTGTTGGTCTTTGTGACGGAACCAACTTAATTGGTACTCGAAAGACGTTACAATGTGCTTTTATATGCGGACCAATTATTCACTTCGAGTTTTCTTTGCGGCAACGCTTAAGTGCTTCGCTAGGCGGCTTCCGTTCCCGCTTACGACTCGTCGAGGCCTCTCTGATGCTTATTTGAAAGTACTCACTGTAGTCGTAATTAATATACTTGGTTTTTCTTTTGTTTGTCGTACAGTAACCGCACTCTCTAATGGTCATTATGTTGCAGTTTGTACTACCACTAACATGTCACGTCCAGAACTGTCATGTAAGCTAAAGGTATAAATTTAATTTGTCTTTTTACATTATAACCATGCCTACCTACCGACAAACCTACAGCATGACGCGCCCTCCTGGGACTGACTGGCCGCGCGAGGGGCGGCGCCGGCGCCGGCGCTCGGCCGCCCGCGCCGACTCACTCGCAACTCTCTCCCCACACAGCCTCTTAGCTTTATATAGCAACAGTTGGTATTTCTGGGTACACTTTGGACGCTACAGAACCTATAGACTGCCCTCGCCCTGGTAAAAGTTGTCTAGCATCATGCTTTAGCTTTTTTGTAAAATATAGTCACGCTTCAATAAGATTGGCTGCGCAATAATGATTATATTTCAAGCGTTCTGCATGCCATTTAGATATTATATATTCATACCTACTATGTGCATAGTGCAGCGTACCTTAACACCACCTTCTGCCCGGTTGCGGAACTCGTTCCCGATGCTATACCAAGACTAGACCAAGCTCGCAAACTCTGAACAAAGCCGTGTAAGATTCTGTTAGAGCACACAAGTTGCAATGTAAAAGTGACAGCCCGGCCGGGGCGCTCGCGCCAATCAAAGAATGCTTGGAAGCTACAATCATATTGTGCAACGAATCTTGTAAAGTTCTTGTAATATTAAAGCAGCGACAAGATTTGATTTCGAGCAGTTTCGCCTTCCGTGTTTCCTATTTTGTTTCATACCAGTCTGTAGCGATGGAGAAAGTACACACGCATTTGCTAGTCGTCGGTCCTACATTGACATATTACAAATATGTAACATTTTAAGTCGATTGTTTAATAATAATTTCCGTGCGGTTCATTCTATGGAACTCCATGCTCTTTGATATTACAAAAACTAAATCAGCGTATTTTTCAGAAGGCTGTGCAATGAAGATATTGTTCAGTGTCAGATGTATGAATGTCCATAAAGTGATGATATAGAGATAGCGTTAACACTAATAACAATCATTCATAAACCGTCAGAATCCAACACGAATCACTCTAAACACATTTTTATATATATTTTATATGGGACTCGACTGTTTATGAAGTAGTTTTAGATTATTTCAACAGTCATACAGGGGACCCATAATAACAGCCACAGATATATCTTAAATAAATTTGGAATCCATAGTAATATAAATGGAATAAAACCCATAGATATAATGGACATTGATGTGTTAGAATTTGTTTTCATATCTTAACAAAACGACTTTAAAAGGGCTTCTATTAAAGACTAATTGAAATGTCGTCCATACCAGTTCCACGACTGTATATGAACCATTTTATACAAGCAAAAATATGACAATATAAGGCATAAACATTATGGTGCCAACTGTATGACTGTAAATTAAATTATAACCATTTCTGTATACTGATTTTCTTCTTATATATTTCAGTTACTGGACACCCTCCCGGTGTGCCAAGATTTTAATCGACAAGGATGTACCAGACCCACCTGCAGATTTGTTCATATTCGTGAAGGTATGTTTAAAGTATTGTAAGCTAGTAAATTTGTATTTACTTGTCCAAATTCTAATTAAAATTGAAGGAAATAGCCAAAGAATCAGAATATCAACTTTCCTTCTAAAGAATTTTCTTCTAAAGACTTCATTGTTTGTCATATGTGTGAATATTACTCCACTAGGTACTAGAACCAATCCTCTATCCTTTAGTCTAGCATGTTTACACATTAATATCTTTTATTAGATAGATGCCATTTCAGTTAGCGGAACTTTATCTTGTAGACAAATAGTACTTAGAACTAGTCATGTTTTACCTTATTTTCCGTTACTGTATCAATGTTAATATTTGTAATTAGATACTAAATTGTAGATAGCATAAATATTTTATATTTTGACAATAGATTTTTATTTTTATGATGTTTAATGTTTCAATCATGTGTGTAATACGTGGTACGATATGGTGGTGGTGAGATAAGGTGAGAGTCAAAATGGCGGGTGGACCATAACGAACTAAATTATACCACTTACTAAAAAATGTACATAAAATGTACTATCTAGTACCTCGGTCAAAAGAAAGTACCTCCTATAGAATGAAATAATAACGAAATTAAGTTACATCCGCCATATTGACGCCAATTTAAACTCTTACGAGAAAAGCACGATTATAGCGATGTGCGGCGTGTTGCAGGGTGCGGGCTGCAGGTGGTGGGGTGCCGCGTGGTGGTGTGCCGCGACGCCGCCGCGGGCACGTGCCGCCGTGCCGCCTGCCGCTACTACCACATCCCCGTGCAACTGCCGCCCGCCCTGCGGCCGCCCTAACCTCATCTCCAACCACACCTCGCTGATCCCCGCCCCGCACCCACACCCAGCACCCCACACACACACTCCTACATCACGCATCCTCCATTCCTCGCCGCGGCTCCCCGATCCTCTAAGTAGTTCCGGTCCACAGATGGTTCACGGGCCGTATCGTCCCTGTCGATCGCGCCTCTGACACAGTCCGCGAGGCGAGTCCGCTCGGACGGCGGCGGCGTGTCGGCCGGTAGCGCCGGCGGGGGCGGGGGCAGGGCGGTGCGGTGCGGGGCCTCCCTCTCGCCGCGCCGCGCCCCGCCGCCGCCCGCCGTGCGGTCGGCTTCGGGAAACAGTGTGTACATATGTAGCAGGTTATGGTTCTCAGGCACGGTCATGCGATTGTGATATGAATAGATTTCGAGACACCGGAGCCGTTTGAATAATTTTATGAAGATCGTCAAATAGTAGTTAGTGAGGTTTCAAATGTTTTATTACTATTGTATATTTTTTTTTAAGATATGATATGAGTTCCTGTAAAAGTCGGTGCGAGCGTCTCTCGGCGCCGCAACCTTATTGTATATAAGCGCGCGTACTCTGCGGGTGGTGCCCCCCGCTCTCGTCACCGGTGGCATCGCCCCACTCCTAAAGTGAGCATTTTTCGTGAGAATTATCTTAATTTTAACATACGTTATAGTAATTTTGTTTTTATAATTGACAAGGTTTACACTAGATTAGATTAAGTGGAACAGTAATGAAACACCAATAGAGTAGCCGCTTTCTCCTTCGGCACCGACCGCTACGCCGGAGCGCGGCGCTCGCCTCGCGCCGGCTCGCGTTGCGTGGAATCGCTCGCGTTACGGAATGTGCGGTTGCGGTTGTGGCGTACACCGCGTAAAATGAACGTCGGTATATCTATGTAAGAATGAATTGTTTGAAAGGAGGTAAAGCGCGAGGGATTGTATCGAAATGCGGTATAGGTCGTGTGGTTGCGGGCGTGCGCGCCGGCGCCGGCGCCGTGCCACGTCGCGTCGTCCAGTTTTCTCACGATAGCATAGATCACGACACTCGTAGAGTGGTAGTGGCCAGACATTCGACTTACAATGAACGTTATTGGACAATATGAAAAGATGAAAGCATACTTCCAAGCTATTTATCTACTTAAATAGATTAGAGACAACGTCGGCTTTTATTCCAGATAGATTTTGCTAGATACTCATTCTTTTTCTGATCGACTCCAGTCTATCGAAGCACAAAATAATGACCGACTAACGAGTCCGACATACCTCTAGATCAGTTTAGAGTGTGCAATAGCTGCCTATATTGTTTTCGAGATGAACAGTATTAAGAATATGATCAAATGTATCTCGCCGCGCGCGCCGAGGCGCGTGGCGGCGAGCGGGAGGGGCGCGGCGGCCGCGCGTCGCCGCTCCGCGCGGAGCGAGCGGCCGCGGCGGCCACGGGGCATGGAAGCCGATGCCTAATAATATTCCTAGTCCATATCCTTTTGTTGATCAGTCATGCGATTAATGTTAGAATAAAATATTAATAATTTGATTTATTCCTCCCATTTAGTGGATATTTTGATAATGATATATTAATAATGAGAATATTTAAGATACATAATACATATTTGATTCTAAATCCTGATAAAGTGACACTACGTTAGTAATTTAGTCGGAGGGATACTTGTGCCGTGATTATATTTTTAGGTATATATTATAAAGTAATTCCTAGCGTCGGAATTAAAGAAGTGATTAATGTGTAAGCGCGTTATATTTATTGTCGTATCGTGTAAGTGGAATGCCATATCGATAAAAGAAGAATAGCGGAGGCGGAGTGAAACTCGTTAGGAAGGAAGGAGGCGGAGGTGGGTCGTGTAGTTAGAGCGGTGTAGCGCAGTGTAGCGCAGTGCAGCGCAGAGCGGCACAGCGCGGCGTAGCGCGGCGCAGCGTAGCGCAACGCAGCGTAGCCAGCGCAGCGCACCGCAGCGCGTAGGAGCGGGCCCGCGCCGCGCGGAGGCCGGGACGGTTCGCTTTTATCAATACGGCAGCGACTCATAAAACTATAAGTTGTCATTTTTATTTTTGTTGAAATTTATCGTTTCCTCGATTATTTGTTGACTTTTAATTTTTAAACAAAATTTTATGATCTGACGCATTTATTGTAAGACAATCGATTACTTTTATATTTAATTAGTGTGATAATTATAATGATGGCATTGACTGCCGCTATGAAAGAATGAAACATCGAAAGTATCCTTCCTGTTTAGAAGGGACTCTTCAGACCCAAGGTTTCTAGTGGATTTATATTTTTCTTTTGTTGTATTTTTAATGTTGCGTGTGTCTTACACATAGTATATTTCATTTTTGTGATATTTTTAACTATAAAGTACTGTTATTATAAACCCATGTGGAATAATGATGACCTAATTAAATAATCAAGAATTTATTTGTAAATCACAAAAAAAAAAATGTAAAACTGTAAATATATAAACAAAAAAATGAACAGCAACACAATATTTGGTAATAATATCTGTCATCGAGTACACTGTAAGCTGTTTGCGTACCGTAATGTCGTAAGTAATGTATCGTATTGTTGTAGTAGTGCAGTCTACTGAAGGTGAACCGGTCCAGTGAACAAACTATTGATTAATATTGTGAACGTTTTTTTATTCACGAGCAATCACAGAAAGTACATGACATTGTAATATTATTTATGAAATTACTATGTGATGTGATCTTCGGATCAATTTTGAGTACAGTATAGATAATAAACAACTGAATATGTGATTTGTTTATTTTATTTCTAAACCAAGTAGAGAAGGACACCTTACATCGACAGACACATGTTATAATATTAAGTAAATAGAACCACTTGTATGGTAATACAAATTAATTTAAAATTATGTGTACCTATATATTGCATAATGCCTTTAAACATTACTTAACAATAAAAATTTAAAACAAGATATTTACCGTATTTAATATTTTCCTTTACTAGTAAGATAATGTGAGATCAAATTATCACACTGTTGGTGATAGAAAAGGAAGTCATTACTGTGAAATGACCTAAAAGATGTCATTAGTGACTTTACATAATATTTAACATAGCTTTTCCAAATAAATTTCATACTAGGATGTAACATAATAAAATATGGAAATGAAACACTTTCTTTAAAATAAAACAGCAAAGCAGTTACAGGTCGTGGATCAGGTTTCTCATGCCAAACCAAACTAATTATGTGTAGGTATATAGAACTATTTTATTTGTTTGTAGTTAAAAATACTGTGATTTCAAAAGATATTAAAAATCTATATAAATAAGATTGAAATATGCAGTACATAAGATCTATAAGAGATGGAATCGAACTTGAAATGACATAAAGTAATTAAAATACTTAGGTATTAAATTCTATTCCGTTTCTTAGTGGATTATAAGACGTGCGGGGAGGAAAATTCCGTTCTCTCTTCTAGAGAGTGGCGTTTTAATTGGGAAACAAAGCCCTTGACCCAGTTTTCTATTAGAGCTCGGGCAAAAGTCCCTAACGGCGTAGATATGCATTCCTTTGCCGTTGTTAACAAAAAAATTGAATATTAGGGTCTTTGAATACTTGAAAATTACTTACATAATGGTCCTTCAATGTGCAGATTAGCAACCTACCTTACTTATTTTAGTCTTTCGAACAAATGCAGTTTCAGAGGCAGCCGTAGACATTGTCTACTAGATAAGTATAAACGACAAGCGAAGAAGAGCTTTGTAAACCTTCATCTTCCATATAAAACCATATACATACTCTTGCAAAACATGAAATACAAATAATATTAATAATCCAAGGTTTTTTGGTCATCTTTATATACTTTAACATTGAAACAAAGTTAAATTAAGCAAGTTTTTATCTCAAAATAATTTATTAAAATTGAAGATGGTGAACATGCTTTCTCGCTCTAACATCGCCTCATATGGACCAATCAGTTACAAGGCATTATTTTATTTGACAGGGGGGCCTGCTAGATTTTAGAGTTATCAGTAAGCAAAAATTTGGCAACTTTTTTCGAAATTCTCCTATGTTGAAAATAAAATCGAACTGCATGTTAATTTTTTTCGCAATCGACTTTCGATATTATGAAAATGGAGACGTACACTTGTGCAGTTGACGCTCCTCCATTGGTCAAATATGACGCTTTCAACTTGACATTGTTGGTTCACAAAATTGCCAAGTGCCATGTGATCCGGGTAGATCTATACCATGAGTGTCTGAATGGACAGGCTAATAGCGTTGGTAAACAAGGTTTACTTCATTTTTTACGTTACTGGTTTCGATTGGTCGCGGAAAATAATTTTATTACTAATAGTGATACACTTAACCGTCAATAACATTAAAAGGTATCATTATAGTCTGATTGAAGAAAAAGCTGTCGTTTTTAGACTATCTCCTGTCTATTACATTATATATCTACAGTCCATATATGTCAGTAATCTATGTATGTATGTGATGTCATGCAGTGTTGCTAATGCTACGGCACTTGCCGAGTTTTACGGCTTTCAGCCAATTAAATTCGAAAATCTACAGACTAGGGCCACAATACTGAGCCCCTGGCAGTATCTACGACTTCTTGATGATTTAGACTAATAAAATGTTTTCTCTTATAGGTTCATGTTTAATTGGCTTTTTAATAAATTTTATATTGGCCAAAGTTATCTATTTTATAGTTACCTAGGTTAATTTAGGCTGTAAGTTTTAGAAATGTTAAATAAATAAATAAATTTCGTTGACTAACAATGATTTTTATCGAGAATAATGATATTCAAAGTAATCGATTTTGTAAACAAAGGAGGGGCCATTTTAACACAGTTCTTTGATTTTATACGTTAAAATAGGGACATTAAACTGATTTTGAAAAAAAATTCCTTGTTTTACTGGTGCTACGGCCCAGGATCTTGTCCCAAACAAACACGTCTTTTTACACGAAGTACACGGCCGGGCTAAAAAATGTCATTGGCAACACTGATGTCATGTCACAATTGTGATAATGTCATATCAACAATAGCGAGTGGGTAATAAGTTAATTTTCCCTTTTGCTAGAAATCAGTTTTTCTGATTATTTTTTTAACATGTGTAAGTTGTTTATATATTACAACAAAATACCATATTAATTGTACAATTATTGCCTACATATCTTTTTTCATCGGCAGCTATTTACTTGTAAGTTAACAACACTTTATCTGTGTACTTTACAAATAGTTTTTAACTTGTTATTGCATTTTGTAGTAATTTTTTCTACGAGCTACAATGTTCGCCAGTTTGAAAAGTAAAATAAAAGAGGAAACTGGCAGTGATATTAGTAAGTTAACAAGCAGTTGGCGTACTGGTGCATTTTTAGGACGGATTACCCTTCGCGATGATTCAGTAAGTTCACTTGTCTATTAAATATAAAAACAATGCAGTTATTTTATACAAACTATCAATTTCAGTTTTAATGCTGTTATTAAAACAGTTGTAGCAAAAACTCATGTTAAAGTTGCATTTGAAATGAAGTTTTTCAGTAGCATTTGTTAATTACTTTGAATTGAAATCTCTGAACTTATTCGACTCAAATGGCGGACAAGATTTGTATTATAAACCTTCATTTTTTGACTTAATTTTTAAATCTCAACATACCAAACTTACTTGGAAACTACACTATGAATAAATTTCTTTATATACTTCCAATGATTTACAACTAATATCTGTTGATGAATGTTGAAATAGCAGCATTGTTAAACTTGTATGCTTGCATCCTCTGACACCTAATGAGGCAATTAGAATAAGCAAAACAATATTTTTATGACAATTTCATTATACAAGTAATTAAAACCACAGTGGGATCTTTGAAATTGATAATGTTTATCATATTCTAAGTCGGAAACAAGTTTTAAAATATATATCTTCTAAATGCACGCATAACAAACATATTTTTTTTAAATTGTATTAACTTATATGGTATAATTTCAATTAACAATGTTATTGTAATTTACAAGTGTTGATATGCATTTGGTTTTTCAGTCGACAACAAGTCCAAGTAGTTCAGGAGGTCATGGTGATACCACATCCGATGTAAGTGATGTATTAAAACCAAAACATTATCTTTTATAATAAACCTAACAAATCTGCACTCATAAGTCTCTAAAATTATTTCTTATATTATTTATTACATAGCCATGTATATACAATTCATTTCATTGTACATAATTTATCTCACTCAAAATATATATTTATTTAAAAAAATATCCATCCATATACACATAATCCCATAATTAAGACTGTTATTGTGAAATTCTTGTGCATATATTGTTGCAATTATTGTAATGGAGTTTTCAGCGACAAAGATGTATTATTTATCTATTTAACATTGACATATCCTTTACAGAGGAAATGTAATCTGGTTTCATCCTGTTTTTTGAGCATTGTAGATAATATATCAACTTGTAACCAATACTTATGGCCAGTTTGACCAATGTGTTTGTGATGAATGTAACAATAATGTAGCAATAGCTAAGCAACACATTAAAATTGATGGTAGTTAAATGTTGGTAAATGTAGCTGGTAATGTTATTGTCTATGGATTTATTTGTAAAGATTTGAGTGTTTAAAATTATGATACAAACATATCTATTTGAATAAGATGATAATTACAACATGAAAATAGTAATAGTATTTAGATATGTTTATTATTTCTCAGTTTCATTAAATTCAACTATACAATATATAGCTTTAAAATAAGTAAAGCTCAAGTGAAGCGTGAATTGTTACAAGAATTTAGATATTGGCCTGGTTTTTTTCCATAAGTATTGTTACACCATTCAACAAGTGAACAAAATCATACTTTGAAAGAGTTGTAATGACTAAGAGGTTTACAGTTATCACTGTCATTTACAGTTATGACTTATTTACATAAAGTTAAGTAACTTAAACTCTTTTACTTCATTTGAGAATGTTTGAAAATATTTACAAGATTCTTATAATACAAAAAAGGAACCATATTTATTGTTTGTACAAACCAATCTTTGATGTATTAAATGCCAATTCTCAGAAGACTGTTCTATTGTTGTTTTTTTTTAATCAACAACAGTAGTTTTCCAGTTAAACCTCACAAAAAATTTGGCAATTTAAATTACTTAAGTATTGTAGTGAATGTCAGTCAGTATAGGATTGTAGTATAAATTGTTTTTTGCAGTCAATATCTCCTCAACTTCAAACATACCTGTCGGACCGCACCGGCTGTGAAATAGACAACACTGCTCTCCAGCAGCAGTACACGGCACAGCTCGAGGCCAAGTTGCGGGAGAGGGATGCTTACTGGGAGCAGAGGGTCGACGAGTTGCAGCAGTCATTGGCAGCCGTTCAAGGTATAACAATGAGTTTCCACTGCCAAAACGTCTACAGGGGAATCAGCCGGTGTCTTGTACGTATTGGGATATCGCAGATCGATAACCGATAAGAAAACATAGTTTTTAGTTTAATCAAATTGCAGAATTTGTCTTGTTGCAAAGAATAAACCAATTTTTCTGAAGTCAGTCACCATTCTGTTCATTGTAGGTTCACTGGGGATTACCGCAACTGTACATGCTCACTTGTTTGTTTACCATGTATTGAACACTAGCTTTCGCCCGCGACTTCGGCCGCGTCGAATAAAAAAAACAAAAGTAAGTAACCTATGCATCCATCCGTCTATTTTTTTTATATGGATGGATGGATGTTTGATAGAATTTGTAGCCTAAACGGCTGAACGGATCTCGATGAAATTTGGCATAGACATAGAGTCTGGGAGAACACATAGGTTACTCACTTTTGTATTTTATAATTCCACGCGGACGGAGTCGCGAGCGACAGCTAGTTTATAATATTAGTATGATGTAAAAGAAATGTGATATGTATAAAATTAAATTTTGTGCGATGTAAGGCGAGGAAGCGGCGGCGGCGCAGGCGGTGGCGCGCGCCGCGCAGTCGGAGGCGGCGCGCGCGGCCGCCGAGCGCGACGTCGCGCTGCGCCAGCTCGCAGACCTGAAGACGCGCCTGGCGGCCGTCGAGACCGCGCAGGACAGGCTCGACACACTCACAGTAATATTACCAATTATACTATAGTTCAATTTATTTATTTTTCTGTTCTAATTATATCGTTAGTTTTAAAATAGGTTCTTTGTTTTATCACTGTCTTTAACTTAAAATTAGATGTTCCCATGCTCCTTCATCCATTTGATATTTGAAATTGTATTGTTTACGTTCAGTAAGACTTTCATTTGTAAATGCCAAAATTCAAATGCTTAAATGACAATGAAAGTGTTTGCCATTGGCTACCAATTATCGTTACCATGGCAATGTCGGTTCTTTGATGCTATTGGCTTGTTATTTTGTCCCTTTTTGGCATAACTTTTTTAGTTTATTTACCCTCTAAATGAAATAGCGTGAAAACATGTACCTTTGTAGCCATACACATTCATTCTTAACACTTTCCGGTTTATGTCCATGTTCACACCACGCTAACCTTTTGTTTTTTAAGTAATTTTCTTCTTAACAATAGGAGGAAATAGAGCAATCCCGCCGCGAGTGGTCCCGCGAGCGCGCGCAGGTGCGCGGCGCGCTGGGCGAGGCGGAGGCGCGCGCGCACGACCTGGCCGGCCAGCTGGAGGTGCTGCGCGCCGCGCTGCCGCCAGAACACCCGCACCACCACATGCACGACGATGGTAACGAACCACTTTACACCTCTTTTTATAATCACCTACCCAGGGTAGGAGACAGTCATACTAATATCATATCTCCCCTACCTTATCCTACTCCCGTATAGAAGCCTAAAAGAGATTAAATATGTATTAACTAAATCAGCGTGTACCATATTTTGGCTCTTAATTCTTAACTGTAGACTTCGATAAAAAAAGATTTGTTTAATAAAGAGGGTGGATTTTATACTATTGATAAGAGTTGTAAAGAAATAAAAAAGAATTATGGTACTTTCAAGTAAGAATTGCTTAATGGTCAGCCTAACATTTGATCGTGGACAAGTCGCACCTTCATTCTTAAAAGAATTAACTCAAAATTTATCTTTTGCACGTTTACACAGGAGATTTGAGATGAGAGAGCAAGACGTCCTATCTCTTTTATTTTCATTCTATTGTAGCGCGAGTTGAATTAACCGTATATTCGCAAAAATAATGTATTTCATTATAACTCAAAAAAATATACATACATTTTGAGTTTTTTTATAGTAGCAGGGGCCAAACGAGCAGCAGATCGCATAATGATAGTTGATCCGACGCTCATGAACATCCGTAACGCTGAGGGAACTGCAGATGCCGGCCTTTAAAGGAGAAAAGCACTCTTTTCTTGAAGACCCCTAAGTTGTAACTGATCAAAATCAACTCTGTGACAGAATTAGTAATTGAAAACACTGTAAACCCTCCCCCCCTCTATATATTTTTTTTTTTATATTTTGGATTTAATTCATTTTATGGATAAAGGAGCAAAGGAGGATAAGTGTTGTTTTAATTGGTTTCCAAATGTGGTGTGCAGACAAGCGAGAGGTGGAGTGGAGCGAGTGCGCGGCGCTGGGCAGCGCGCGGCGCGAGCGCGCGGTGCTGACGCGCCAGCTGCAGGAGGCCAACATGGCGCTCGCCGACGTCAAGACCTCCTGGAGCGGCCACATCGCCTCGCTCGAGACACAGGTATTCAAAACTTAAATAGCCTATTTTACTGAACTATATTCTATATCTGTGCTAAATTTCATCGAAATCGGTCTTAACTGCTTACCGTTTCGCCGGAGATACGTAAGATCCGTCCAAACTTTTATGTTTTTAATGTAAGAACGATTAAAATAGTTTTTACCAACCCGACACCAAAAATAGTATGAGAAACTTCCAAATATCACAGTTTTTATCAATGAAATAAATTAAAAACTGGTTTCAATTTGTTCAGAATAAACAATAGAAACTTTCTATTCTCTTAGTAATGTCAATGTTATCTCTTAGTTATTTTGACTACTTTTTACTAAGATTTAAGGAGACAAAATATATAATTTGCTTTTGATATAGTCACTGTAATACAATTTATTTAAATATTTGTATTGCATGAATGAATGTTTAGTAAGGACTATGACGCATACCCACACAGTAAATATTGTTGATAAAATAATATAATAAAAATTAAGTTATTATAACTTCTGCTTATTCATTATGAGTAGCATTACTGTTTCAATAGTGAAACATTATTGTAGTGTTGGGTGCGATGAGAATAGGATATAAAAGAATTGGTTGAACACATTTGTCATGAATCTTTTATATTTAGTTTTCAATCTGGCAACATTTTTATTTTGTACACCTGTTCACGTAAGCGTATTCAGAATGGTAAGAGATTTATCTAAAGTACAATAAAAGTGCATGTTTTCATTGCATGGAAATCTATAATACTGTCAACTGTCTACTAAAAACTAATAACCTAACAATAAAAATGTAAATAATGAATGTTTGTGTAAATTTGTTAATCTGTTTTATTCAACTACTAATTCATCACAGAGTTGATTTAAATCAGCTGAAAATGCGGTTACTAAGGAAAAAGCATTTTAAAGTGCTCGGTTTTTGTTTTAAATGTAGCAGAAATTTTTAGGCGGAATGATATACGTGTAAATGTGATATTTATGAATATAAGGTTAAATTAAGGACCGGTAAGTATAATTCAGCGTACAGTCGCGGAAATACGCAGTGTTTCACTTTAGGAAAAAATGTGTTGTTCATGATAGCAGTGAGTGCAAACGAAGGGATAATAAAAAGAAACTAGCCATGTATTACTAGCCGACTCTTTTTTTGTACGGATACATTTATAAGCTGCGTTGTATTAGTTTTGTACCGCGTCTCGTATCAAAATGTTCAAACGATTGTAGCTTAAAGTGGGCCACCGCCAGTTTCCCCGACTGTACATAGTGAGGTGCGGTGTAGGTGGCGCGCTTGTCGCGGCAGGCGGGCGAGGAGGGCGCGGAGAGACGCCGCGTCGAGAACGAAAACAAACAGATACAGGACAAACTAAACAAAGTAACCGCTGAATTAGAAAAAACTAAACAGAGCTTGGCCAATAGTGAAGCTAAGGTAGTATTTTATACAATAATTTTTTATTCTATTTTTCTACCTTTTATCATAATTACTCCGTGATTACTAATGTTAAGAAAATTAGTGCCGCGCTGTAGCATTGGTGCAACACTAAATTATTGGCATAAACGTCACTTCTCTAATGTCAATGTCGATGAGGATTGATCATTTTGCGCGCCATCCTGGCGCGACCTGTAGCTCAGTGTTTAGATTAATATACCTGGTTACAATCATATTAATTATTTGAAACTAAGTAGTTCCAAATCCAATTTCCCAAAAAAAATGCCATTTTTTTCAACTGATGACCTTAAATTGACTTTCAAACCGAACCTATTATGAGACGGGAATATTGTTAAACGAAAAACCATTCTAACCTCAAAATTTAGGTCTTATAGTTAATTGGTAACTACTAAAGATCTAAAAAATCAGCTAATACTCTTTAGGAACGTAAGAAATTTTAGAAAAATTATGATTTAAAACCTTATATTGATATCTGCACACCATTAGGTGACACGACTGAACGGGGAGGTGCATTCTCTAGCGATGGAGGTGAAGGGGCTGCGCGCCGCCGCAGACCGCTCGGACGTGAGTCCCAGCCTCTACAGCATTTAGGCTAGCTTAGATTTACACCTAGGTCTAGACTTTAGAGCTATTCTAGCTTCAAAATGGCGTAGCTACTTGTCCATTACATTTTATATTTTATTATTGCTTACCAATCATTAGTTAGCAGTTGCGTTGCATATTGTTTTAAAGTTTTATAGTTGTGTAAATAATAGACTGCAGAATATTATTTATAAAAACAAGAAAATTGTATTATAGATTTTATTCATTACTAGCTGTTCGCGTGCGATTTCATCCGCATGAAATTATGAAAATTTTATTTTGTTGTTTACATTTGTCAAATTATCAATAGCAAATGTAAAATTCACATAACATGATGACAACCTTGCTTTTTTGATGTTAGCAGCAACTTATGGTCCCTTTCCCACATTAGAGTTTTTATCCAAAATATTTACCCTCTAAGTTTAATGGCGTGAAAATATAAAGCCTAAAGCGTGACGTAAGTGTAGGGCTTTTTATTAAAAAAAAGCGTTATTTAAAAATGTGCTGTAATTGCTGACATCTTAGGCAACAAAGAAGTGTGTGTTTACGCTTTATTATAATAGTATAGTTAGTAAGTGATATAAGGACAGAGAATGTGGTAGCTTATTTTGAAAGTTAAAGTGAAGCTATCAATTTTAGCAACTATTTTATTCCAGTTGGTTTATTGTTACACAATTACCATATACTTAATGTATAGCTTTTAACGTAAAAACTGAAACAAGACAGCTCCGCCTTATCTTATAATTTTATGAAATCCTAACAAGTTGCCGTCCATTGTATTTTTAGTTTTGTATTAAACATATAGTGGTATTATAAATAGATTAATTCTGGATAATAACAATTGTATTTGATAAGGATTATGTCATTTCTCTACATAAATGTTATAATTGGTTCATGAAATATAACAATGATTAATTATACAAAAATGTTGATATGTTTATTGTAATTTATCCATACAGTAACAATGGAATAATGCCGCTATATGTTTTCTTAAACATACATTCTTTTGTTTTCCTATTATTTTTAATGTTAAAGGTTGTACTTAATATAAAAAATAATTATTTACAATTTTATTTCTACAAAAAGAGAATTATGTGTGTTAATTTAAGCTAGTACTCTGTACGAAAAATTATGTTGTAGTATATTCATTTGTTTTATTATTTTAAAAAGTCCTATTTATGTTCTTTTAGTTTTTTTTTAAATCATATAATTTGTCGTTTATGTTTACTTTTTGCTTCACAAAAAGGATAATCAATTACCAAGTAAATTAATGTTACTGTTTTTAAATAATTATAGATGATTTTTTTTATATAATTATAAGTATTTGCAAAGACAAAATAATATATTTAAGATTTAGTTTTTAAAAGGTTTTCTATTGGTTGCACTGAAGCTTATTGCTTTGCACAGGTTTTATGCGTGTTTCGGAATACGATACTTCGCCTTATCGCTGTTTAATCTGTGGCGTAAAGATAAATTATCACATGATGTATGTTTTGTTTTTTATCTTTCTGAATTTTCATGTGAAAGAATTTATACTGTGTGACATTGCTTAAATTATTACATATAAGGTAAATATGCGACAGTTCTTAATATATTTTTCATCGTTTTTTTTTAAACTGTTGGTTTTTTGTTTGTATTGAGATTTGCTTTTAAACTACGTTTTGTATCACAAGTAATAATAAATTTTATTTTGGATTTATTTTTTCATTTTTCCTTTCACCTTGCACATTGCCTGTACGCTCACAGTTTTAACACCTTTTAGTAACTAATTGAATCATTAAAGTTTGTACATATTTTGGTGTAAGTAGTGTGTCATTATTTCACAGTTCAAAAGTGAGTGGATTACCCATTGTTTTATAGCTTGTTGGCTATTTTCTTATTATTTTGGTGGTGAAACGAGGTTAGGTTTTAAAATTTTGGGAATATGGGACGAGGTAATTTTTTTTGATTATCTTTTTGCCAATGCCTCAAAGTTGGTTTTTTAATCATTTTCCTTTAGCTTTTGTGTGTTTTGTTTAGTATTTGTTTAAAAAAAAAAATTTTGTAGCACCGATACACCGCTTTTTGCTGGAAGTAGGAACACTGAGGTTCATTCACAGGAGAAGACGATGGAGTTGGAGCGTCGTTTGGAGATGCTAACGCACGAGAACAGGAAGCTGATGGAGGAGCTGGAGGAGGAGAGGGAGAGGGTGCACGAGCTGCGGGAGAGCGCGGAGGCGTCCAGCGCGCGGGACGACCAGCACCGCAGCGAGGTGACGCGCCTCCACTCCGTAGTCACTGATATGCAGCAGGACTACGTCAACATGCAGAAGAAATATGACAAGTAATTTATAATTGAACTATTTAATACTAATTGTTGCTCGCGACTTCGAACGGGTAAAATTAAATTAAATATTAAAATACAGGCAACGTTACTCACTGATAACGTAGCTTTTAAATGCTGAAAGAATAGGTGTAGTAGTTTTTAAGTTAGTTCAATACATACAAAAATATAAATCTATTCTCTTTATAATTCAAGTATAGATATAGATGTGGTAGATAAATTTCTAACCTATTAGTTCTAATTTGTAATTTAGTATAAGTAAAAGAAAGTGCCTCAGAAGTTTTATCACTTGACTTGTAATCTATAGGTCATGGGTTCGAATCCCGCCATGTACCAGATTCACAAGTACATAATTTGCCTAAAGCTCTTACAGTAAATGAAAACATTGTGATGCAACACATAACTATCGACAAACAAATTCAAAGATATGTGTAATCAACCAACCAGAAGAGGGCCAGTGTGGTTGACTATGGTCTAGTCACCCGTAACTTAATGATGGCTCCGTGCCCTCAGTTGGGACGTATAGTGAGCTGGTGATGAGTGAGAAAAAAGCCTTGTTTAAACACTAGATAGTAACGTTAATTTGTGTTTGGACATACAGTTTGGGAAAAAACTGGACCAAGTAGACATTTAAACTTCAATCAATGTGACTTTTATTGTAGAGAGCGCCGTCAAAAAGACGAAGCGTTGTTACGTAACGCGACGATGTCCCAATCAGTCGAAATGAGTCAGTGCGAGGTTCGCTACCTGGAGGACGAGCTCGCGGAACAGCGCACCAAGATCGCGGAGCTGGAGGAAGTTATCGCGGACCATAAAGAGGTATCAACATATCTAAACACTGCATCTTCTAGAAAGTCGGAATTCTTACTTCTATAACTAATGTCACTTAAATACTTAAATTGTAAAAATTGCAATTGGACAATCTCTTAAGTTATTTCCTCGATTTCATAACTCTCTTGCAAGTTAAGAATTAAGTAGCTATTAAGTTTAGTTTATAATTTAGCGTGTAACAGAAGAAAAAAACTTATTAGATTTTTATACAAGTCGGAAACGAAAATGATCTCTGTTTTATAAATGTTGCAGAACCAGGCGACATGCATGATAATAAAGCAGAACGAAAAGAAGAAAAATGAAGAAATAGAGGATTTAAAGAAAAGAATTTTGGGCGTGATGACAAGTGAAACCGAGCTTAAGAAGAAAGTACACTATTTAGAAACTGAAATCGTTGATAAAAATAAGGTATGATTTCTATATTGAAAACTTTACTTTTTTTACGAATGAAATAAAGTAGTATTTATGTGATTTCAGAAAATAAAAACATTAGAGAATCGAATATTGGACATGAAGAAGACTTTGCAGCGCGAACTGCAGAGCAGCAAGACTGACCTCACCTCCGCAGAGGAGCAGGATATTAGCAGACGGCGAGTACTTGATTAATTAAAAAAACACAATTTCCATTAACAAAACATGTAAAACTATACTAGAAGGGGCAAAGTTTTAATTAAATTAGTTAATTAATCAATAGTGCAATTAATTGATTAATAATGTAATACATTAATCATTAAATTAATTAATTGATTAAGAAAGAAATTAATCATTAAATTAATTAATAATTAAATTAATTAATCAATCATGTAATTGATTAATAATGAATTGAATGTATAACTGTGCGGTGCAGTTACCTGAAGCACGTGGTGTTGCGGTTTGTGACTGGGCGCGAGCGCGAGGCGCGGCAGCTGACGCGCGCGCTGGCGGCGCTGCTGCGGCTCACCGCGCACGAGGAGGCCTCCCTGCGCGCCGCGCTGCCGCCGCGCGCCTCCGGCCTCGCCGCCTGGCTGCCCGCGCTGCCCTCCCTGCCCTCCCTGCCCTCCCTCGCCTCGCACTCCTCGCACTCCTCGCACCCCTCCCTCGCCTCCGCCACGTGACACCAGGTACGCAACACTAACACTGACACTGTTCTCTTTAGCGCATTTAGCTCCCTGCGTGAGATTGCTACGGCTCCCCCTTTTTACTAATCTTGCGTGTAGCTAAGACGCGCGCTCTAAGACGCACTGAACCTTACATATCTTTCGTTGAATCGATATTCGTCATTGACATGTTAAAGAAATATTATTATTTCAGATTTAAAGGCAGCAGTACAAAGAGATAGCAGCTTGTTTACCTGTTGATATATCCTCGATTCAGTTTCGTCTCGGTAACAAATGTAACCGAAAAGCGAAGAAGAGTGGAGAATAAGGATAATAAAGCTTTATTGGGCATAGAACATACACTTTTAGGACCGTTAGGTGATTAAATAATTATAATATACAATTTACAGGATGTATACAGTTATAACTGCTCTGTGCACGCACATTTTATAAAGTTCAAAAAAATTACAGAGCGCTTATGCGCATTGAACTTTGCGGCGACTTTAACATTGTGTTTAAAAGCGTGCGCCTCTGACTAAACAATCGCAAAACTGTTTAGTCTCGTTGCTATGAGCTTATGGAGATGCGCACACTACTCGATTTTAGTTGTGCAACTAAACAGTTGAATTGGCTGAGAAACAATCGACAATCGCACAACAGTCGTTCGATAGTTTAGTCAAAGATGAGCGACCGCTCTTAATGAGCGAATACTATTTGATATTTATGTAACCTCGTGTACAAAAGGCTTTAAACACACCTCTCAAAGTCATAAGTTCGTGCGTAACGTTATCTTTGTGACTAAAGCCTTAAGATTAAAAACAGAATTTGCAAATTTTCATACATTTCTTCTTTACCTAAATAGTAAAATGATTTAATTAAATAATATTGTTTCCAATATATTTTTGGTGCTCTTCCATACATGTGTTTTCTCAGCATTAAATTTCATTTGTTTGAATTATAATTTTATAGTAATTATTTAGTAGTCTAGATTTAACGTCTAATCGAATGGCTGTAAAAGTATTATTTTATGTTATAAGAGTTCTGTTTAAATTAATAATTAAGAAAAAACTCTAATTTTTTAACTTTTGGATTCAAAATTTTGTGATTGTTCGGAGAAATTTTCCATTGGAAATGCTGTAATAATTTTCAATAAATCTTGTAATATTTGTTATATAGTAGGCTGATATTTGTATGAATCGTTTAGAAATGTTCGGTTGTAGGGCACAACGTTATAATAAAATGTAAGGATTGTACACTTTTTTAATTTACGAATTATACGTTCGTTTATTTGTTAAACCGTAGCTAAAATAGAATTGACCGATACTGCCTTCGTTTTGGATTATTCCCAACCGTCACCCCGCCCGGTCCCCAAGTGAGATTAAAGTTTCATCCCTCTCACCACCACCAATAAAGTAACAGATGGAACCGTTTTGAAATTATATAAATTCAAACCGTCATCTCGTCGCAAATGGTGGGACGGATGAAACTTTATTCTCATCTGTCTCCACATGGGGACAGAACGAGGTGACGGTTGGGAATAATTCTTCGTTTTAGTACTTTTTGCGAAATATTGCATGCGATTGATGTTTTTATGGCAATGTTGACATATCGATAGAAAATAGCTTTCTAAAGACAAAGGGCATTTAATATATTCCGACATTTTGTACACAAAGTTCATTAGGTTTATAACAAAAGATAATATATAATCTAGTCTAGCTTCTTTAAAATGTCTGACGCTTAATTTTGTACGTCTTTTTTGTGTGATAAAAAATATAGATTCAGACTATTATTTTAAAATGTATGGTTTATTTTTGTAGGTGTACTTTGTTGGAAATATAATTATGTTTGAAAATGTGTTTTTTTAATGATATACTGATTATGTTAAGTATTTTTCAATGATGTTATTTATTTTACGTATTAAATAAATGTTTATTTAATTTAAAATTTGCTTTTTTCAATGCCAAATGGAGAAAGCAGAATATATTTTTTAAGTATTAATTTTCTAGGGGTCAGCAATAAAGTCAAGAATCTTTACGATATCGCTGTTGCGTGAAAAACATATACATATTGTCATGGACTTTTTGTTTGCTTATTCCATTAAAAGTACTACTAGAACAGGAGTGCGTTCATTTGCAATTGAAATAAAGAAAATATAACGTTATGCTAAGGGCATAAGAGTCTTTTTGCACGCAAAATGAATGAAAATGAAAACCGAGTGAGAGGGCTACAAGTGTCCGATATTTCCCTTTCTAACAGTGACCTAGAGTTGCCAGATATCAATCCTTTCGTTGTTTGTAGAAAAATAAGCAATTAATGTAATGTAATGCAATAAAAATGTTTTCTTTTAAATTGTTTGTAAATATTAATGTTAATTTATTACCGACATGGTCAAGCAGTATTATTTGTTGCTACTGGTAAAACCTTATTAACACAAATTTGCGATTGACCTGCAGGTTTTATTTTATTTGTTTAAAATTCGGACACCTGAACTGACAACCCGACATCGGACGTTAATGGAGGAGTCGTTTTTTAATTTCGAGATATTTTTGAAGAATCATAGTTAAAATGGGAAGAATTTGTGTCGTGGAGGCTTTCCGAAGCGAGTATTATGCTGATTGTGGGTTATATTTTCACAATTAAAAGTTTTAAGTACAATTTGTTGGTGAAGAATTACGGTGACCATGCATGACTATCCAATCCTAATTCAAGAACAAATAACTTAATAAATAACTCGTATGAATTTTTTACTTCCTTTCTCTAATTAAATAACTTTGTTTTAAAATTAATTTTAGATTTAATATTATATAAGGATAGGTTTGTGGCATAAACTTCACAAGACTTCTTTAGCAATGTCTGATTTAGAATTATGTATTCTGTATTGTTTTTAGCAAATACATTAATGATAACAATAATACGTTTAAATCCATCTTAAGCAATAGTCAGCTGACGTCAGACAACAAAAACAAGGTAATTTATAATATTCGTCCTCAAATCATATTTTAACATAGTCACCATCGCCAGAGAGGGACAGAACGGACAGTCGTTGTGGTCTTGCTCGGCGTCGACTTTACAAGAGCTCAATCCTGTTCTAGTAGAACATCAATGGCTTTTTCTCAATGGAATCCGATGTCATAGGATTAAACAGAGGCCGTAGCATGAAAACCTATCCTTTTATCGCAATCTAATGGGATTAATTTTATAATAAATAAAACATTTTGAATTTTAATGTATTTATTTACAACTTACAATGTAATTTAGGAGCATAAAATACGCAAATCTACAATGCCGTCCTTGTCACAAGGCACAAAAGACAAGAATTCGCTATCTACGTCACCATAAGGATTAAAAAAGAAATTGGAATAACGCTAACAAAATAACCCGGTAGGAACCTTATAACGAATAGCTTATGAGACTAGAATGCGGAATGTTTTACTACGATTTTGTCAAAAAAGGGCACATCTAAATCAAACTATGAGAATATAAAATTGGCAAACTTTAAGTACTGTGATAATTTATAATATAAACGACTGAATAAAAATTAAGGGAGCATCAGAACGTAGACTATATTTTTTTTTCTAAGACCTATGAATTATAAAAATCTTTTTATTGCGTAAGGACAATCGAATCTAAAAGATTGTATACTTCTAGCAATTGAACTTGTTTGTAAATATTGAATAAGAGTTAGCGTAGTGTGCCTCTAAATATGCTGGCGATGAAGTCAAAATACACAAAAAGTAACCTTAAAATTGTATTGTCTTGAAAAAACGCCTCAACCACCCAAAATCCGATCGAATATCTGTCCAATTTATCTTTTGCAATTTCTCGTAACCTTTTCTAACTATAACCATCAATATTTATCACTATTACTCATCCATTTTTATGGTCTTGGACCATATTTAAATGATAATAAATACATTATGGTTAACATCACATTTATTTGGTTTAAACGTCCCAATGATTTACTAAACACAAGAGTGAGAATAAAATTATTGTGTACTATATTCGATTGTAACAATAAATGACGTCGTCACCGCACATTAGTTCGCAGGACACGTCACTAGATGGCGCGCGGCGGCACGCGGCGGCCGCGCCAGCTTACAGCTTCACTCTGCCGTTGCAAATGTCATTGAACAGCTCCGAGGTGATGGGCACGAAGTCTGCGCCCGCGCGGAAGTACAACGGGTCCTTTATTACGTCCGGATCGAAACCCTCCTTTTGGTATTGCAGCTTTTTTAGTTTGAAGGTGCCTGTTGAACAATTAAATTGTAAGTCATAAGTGAGTACATTAGCCGATTATGGCTCAGTAACTGTGTTATTAAACACTGACCCGTGATCTCAATGTCGTTCATGATGCGCAGGAAGAGCGGGCGCGCGTACGAGGGCAGCGAGAGGTCTAGATCTCGCGCCAGCTTGCCGAGATCCAGCGAGCGCTCGGGGTCCGCGATGGCCGCCATGCCCGCGCGACCTTCCGTCTGAGGGATCTGTATAAAAAAAGATGTAAAAATAAATATATTTTTCTTTAAGATAAATTAAATTTATCATGTGAAATGTACAAATCCGGAGTAACAATGTAACGTACCGAGACACCGTAGACGACGCAGTCGCGACGCGAGAGTGCGGCGATGAGCGCGTCCTCCACCTCAGCGGTGGCGACATTCTCCCCCTTCCACTTGTACGTGTCCCCCGTGCGGTCGCGGAAGTACAGGTAGCCGAGCTCGTCCGCCACCAGGATGTCTCCGCTCACGAAGGCCGCGTCTCCCTCACAGAACACGTCGCGCACCAACTTCTTGTTGCTGTCACTCTGCAACACACACTCCGATACATGAAATATACGACCCGCGTTATGAACAAGTGTTTGTTTGCGACCTCGTCTGCCCAGAATTTAAAAAATTGGACTATTAGTATTTTTGGAGTTTGTTAAATACGAAAATAGAAATCGTTCCTCTTCGTAATAATATAGATAAATGCAATAATTTAAGTGACCCGTCAAGTTACCTTGTCCACATATCCATAGTACTCTCTGGAGGCGTTGCCCTGCGCGATCAGGCCTATGAACATGCCCGGCTCGTCTGCGGAGAGATGGATTTTAATTTTAGATTTCAAAATATGTACATATTGTCAACAAAAAAAGGGCCCAAAAACAACTGCCCTACTCGTCCCGTCCCTATGACATCTGTCAAAGTCAGTCAGAAGTATTGAGGATAGTGAGCCGTGAGCCATTCTGGCAGGAATCGGAAATCTAAGAGCCGTTGTACGTTTTTACAATTACATTATTGTAAAAAAAATATCAAGCGGCAATAGGAATCCTTCTATAAAGGAACTTGTTTATTAAACGCAGTTATTGCCACCAAGCTAACATTGAAACATCATGTCTAAAACCGCGTTTCCACTAGCAACAAATCGCGCACCGCAGTGCCCAGTGGAAAGCGGCTTAGTATAGAACGGAGTCTAACTGGGCTGGCAGCGAATGCAGTATCCTTCAGCGTCCCGCAGCAGCTGTCCCTGGTCGTCCGTGCGCACCAGCGCGATGGGGTGCAGGCAGGCCGGCACCAGCTGCGGCAGGAAGCCCACCGCACCCACCTTGTTGTCCACGTTTACTGTAGCACGATTACATAAAAACTTAACAAAAGGTCTTTGAACGACATAAATCCCATCAGTGGTAAATGTTTATAGAATGTAAATGAAAAAATCATATCAAAAACGTTTGATTGATTCTTTTTCAAACAATTCGTGCAAACATTTTTATATAAGATATATTATCAAGTAACTAGTTCCCTTTGTATTTGTATGGCAAATATTTAAATTTTTCTATGAAAACATTCATTGTCGGGGAAGCGAACACGCAGTGAGTTTCCACTGACCACACCTGCAAAAGCATTTTGTTATCTTTAATTTTAATTATAAAGAAAATTGAACCTTTACATTTCATAGTTTATAAAACAAATAGGAATAGTTATGAACGATATCTTTAAATTATAGGTTAATGACTGTTTTCTTGTCTGTGTGTAAATTACTCACTGATATTAGCGTTGCCCTCCGTAGCGCCGTAGATTTCGTTTATCTGTGGCACTTTGAACCTAAATAAAAACAATATACATTTGTAACGATTACAACAATGCCGTCTGTTTACACACATTAATTATTCATGAATATAATTAGTATTTGGGTCGGTTCAAAGTAAACAATACACAATACAATTTTTGTAATATGGAATAAAAATTTTCTTGTGCAAGGTAAAAATTGTAAAATTGTAAAAATCCATCAACACGAAACTTGGAAATTTGATATTTTGTAAGTCTATAGTATAGATATAGAGGGCGTTGTTTCATCCAGTACAAAGACATAGTACAATAAGTGGTAAAAGACTGGATTTAAAAAAAATTAGCGACTTATAGAAAAGGTTGGACGAAGCATATACCCAGAAATTGGTCCAGATACTGAATAAAGAGGGTAAATAAATAAAATTAATAGAGGGCGTTGTTGTTGCATACCTATCGACCATCTGTTGCCATATAGCGGGGCGCATGCCGTTGCCGACCATGATGCGCACGCGGTGCTGCGCGTCCGTGGGCCGCGGCGGCTGCGCCAGCAGGTAGCGGCACATCTCGCCTATATACTGCGCCACCTAACCACAAACACAACACTACAATCGACAACTCAATACAACATTCCAAAGATGAAATGATTTTAATTTTATACGTAGAATATTGGTTTCATCCACATGACATTATAAAAACTGTGTTTTATTGTTTACATTTCGTAAAACTTTCAATTACAAATACCGAAATTCAACTGCTTGAATGACATCGAAGGTCTTTGAAGTTGGCTGAGAATTGTTTGAGTAACCATGGCAACCATGCTTCTTTGCAATTGGCAACATTGTAGTTTTTATCGCTTTCCTGCAAGAATGTTTTGTCACACATTTTACCCCCAAGTTTAGTAGTCTGAAAAAACTATTAGTAGTAGTATTAGTATAGATATGATTAGATGTTGTTACAACTGACCGTGCACTGATACTTGATGCAGTCAGTCCAGTAGTTGGAGCCGGAGAACTTGGCGCGCAGTACGGAGGGTATGCCGTCAACGAGCGCGGCGCCGGTGCCGACCAGCCCGCCCGCCGTGTGGTACAGCGGCAGCGGGTTGTACAGTCGGTCGGAGCTTCGCAGCCCCAGCATGTGCACTGTTGCCACCACCACCAGCAGATATCTACCACAGACACCGCTTCATTAGAACATTCCAGCGAGAGTTTACATAGTCGCAGTTCAGCACTGTAATGAACCCTAGATAGGTATACAACGCAGTAATAAAAAGCAAATCAATAACTTTGAAACTCAATCCCTGTAACATTAATAATTAACTATAACTGGTTACTATTAATCCGTAACATTAGGTGAAAACGAAAAACAGCTATATATAGCTATATAACATACATATCTTATTAACATTAGTAAATCCAATTGCTGCACAAGGCAATTCACGAAAAGCATATTATTCTAACACTAAGTATGTATTTAAACATTTATTACAATACTTAAAGTTTATTGAATAGTTATTATTTAATATATTTACATGTTTTGTGAAAAAAATCTGAATATCAATCACTGTCGTTACTTAAAAAAGTAAATTTAATTTATGCAGTCACCTCATACCTAGCGTTCAAAATAAAACATTATTAATTTATACTTTTACATTAAAATAATGGTGCTAAGAATCTTTTACAACGAGTCAAAAGCATAAGTATTAAAAAAGCCTATTTGAGAAAAGATTTCCCCGTGGCATCTTATAAATAAAAGATAATTTCATCTTCATCTCTATCACAGTATTTATGTGCTAGAGATATTCGACAATGCAAATTCATTGGATAAAAATAAAACCCTTGTTCCCAAGTGAAGGTAAAAATAGACGTAGTATGTGTTGCACATCGCATGGCAACCTCGTGACGTCACAAACACTTGTGAAAACAATAGACGCACTAACTGAAACCAATCGAACATTCGGTTGCAGTTAATTGTCTAAAGGTAAAAGTCCGTTACTAAGTTACTATTGAACTCAAAGTTCAATGTTCCAATGTGACACGGACTGCGCAATACGCAGTGTATTTGATACGAATTTTTTGGGTCAATATTTGTTATCTTTAAATATTACCATAGTCTGCACTTTATTAAGACAAACGGAAACGATAATAAGTGGGCGATTAAATTTTCTTGAATATCTTTTTTTACATCTGAATACTCAAAACGCTTTGTGAGGCTTCAACCAACCAAAAGTAAAATAAAAATCTTGCTTGTACCGTAATAATTACATTACATGTCTGTGTATTTGCTACAAATTCTGCAATAATAATATTGGGTATATACCCAGCATATGACGCCACACGTAGGTATCAAGAGTAAACAGTAAGAGAGTAAGAAGGTAGCCCGATGTGCCAATTTTCGGCTTGTGTCCAACTTCATACATCGGATTCAGGTGTACTCTTCTTCCCGAATACCAACTCAAGCAATACGCACTTAAATTTTAGATAACTATCTAAGGAATTCCTTACTTAGAATTGGGCAATACAGCTGCTTTAGGCATGCCGGTGGTGCCCGACGTGTAGATGTACAGCAGCGTGTCCTTGTACTGAGGCTTGTCGACAACCACCGGGTACTCCGGCGGGTGCTTCTCCATCTCAGCACCGAAGTCAATCACACCGGCCCCACACTCTCCATACAGTTGGAACAGTTTCAGTTCCGCCGGCAGCTGGTCACGGACTTCGTCTATCGCTGTGAAGCAAATACGAACGTAAATGAAAGAAATGTAAAGAGGGTATTTTTTAGTAATTAGTTATTCGGGTTTACGATTATAGTTCTCTTTGATATTTAGTAGTAACTTATACCCTGATAGCCAACCTTCATAAACATATACTAGATAGTCATAACCAAAATTATTTATTTTATAAATATACGCTTCATTATTGTGAATAATTTAACAATCACAATCGCAATAACCTTTAGCAGTCCATTATCAATTCGTTAACTTCCATTGTTTGTAAATGCAACAACAATAAATTGCCTTTAAATATAGATATTTCTATTATTTCTAATTCCTCTTATCTTTTTGTTACATCGATTAATCTACATTTTTATATTTATAATGTGTGGCACATAACACATGATTTGCTCTATCGTTTTCCTGTTAGAATTATGTGTGACTTAGATTTTAACCGATGCTAAATTACATTTTAATTTATTAGTATTATTTCCGCATATAATTAAACATGTTCTCGCATGTTGTGCGCTCGGATGCTAATTAAATGCAGAGTAAACGTATACGATATCCCTCTAACTGTACTTCCTTTTAATATCGATATTTCTTCATTTTATAATAATACTTGCTTCCAGGTCTTTTCATTTAATAAAGTGAGCTTCGCTGTTCACTTGTTAAAATAAATAGTACATACCTCCTGCGAGAGTGTTGGAGAATATAATGGCCTTCGCTTTGGCGACTTGTATGCAGTGCAGTAACGGCTTGTGGCGCAGGTTGCTGTTGATGAGCGCCGACACCGCGCCCACCTTCGCCATGCCGAGCCACGTCCACACGTACTCTCCGCAGTTCGGCATGAACACACACACCACATCGCCGCGTTTCAACCCCACGTGCTCTTGCATAACGCGGGCCACTTGGTTAGACTTGTCCGCCATCTGCAAATTTTAATTACTCCGAAAACTGATTTATTATAGGCATTTCATAAATTTTACCAAAACACAGATTAGCGGAAAACCTTTAAATATTTTCCACATTCAGTACAATAAAATAAGCCTTTTGTTAAACTTCTTTTGTAAACAAATTTATTGTATTTCTCGTCTACTATATAGTTATAGTTACTATATAGTTATAGTTGATAATCATCCCTAAATGTTTAGTTTGTGTATGTAGGTAGAATTAAAAACAGCTTAGATAGTAGAAACAGAAGTGGCCACGGCCATTGTCGGGATACGACTCAAGGCACTTTTGATGTTCCCGTAACGTTGAAAAAAAAAATTATTAGACCTGTTTAAACGTCCATGTGCGGTCATCGACCACAATGAAGCAAGGTGCATCGGGACACCGAAGCGCCCTCTGTGTGAACAGTTCCGCCACTGTGGCGTTCTGCCGGCCCCAGCGCTTCGACCTGATGATGCCGTTCGCGTACCGCCATAGGAATCTGACAACAATAGAAAATAATTAAGTTCCTGTCAAAGACTAAGCATACATTCTTATTTAAATTAAATTAAATCCTAATATAAAATGAACAAGTTCTCCAATAAATTAATATTTCATTGATTAATTTTAATGCTTGTTATACTGAGAATTTTTTTAATGTCTCGACGGGAATTATTATTTGACATTTATGTTATTTTTAATTAATATAAAAAGTGCAGCTTTTTTATGCTTTCAAGATGTAATTTTCGTATTTGCATATTAACGTTCTATCAGTGATAATTAAAAAATAAAAATAATATTTGCTCACCGGCAGTTTTACGCAATTTTTTGTGATAGTATTTAATTGCAATTATTATTTAAAAAAATATTAAATCCATTGCAAAGATCAAGTAAATCATAAAATTTCAAAAGAAGGAAACGAATACAAGTAAAAAAAATGATATTTGTTACTTAACTGTCTGCGTTAAATATTTATAAAAGAAAAATATCAGCATGCGCCAACTGAGAAGTTGTTCATACAATTGCCATGCTTGAATATAGTGCAGGTGAGTCGATTATCATTTGACATGACAATACGCACCACATGTGAACTAGCCGGCTGTAACCGTGTATTGATTTTATCAATCAATACTTATATTTTTTTTATATTAAAACACTATTTATACCCGTTAGTTCGCTCACATTTTTTAGTAACTAAAAGTAAGTGTAGTATATTTAAGGCCTATCCCACCAAATTGTAAACTGTCTAATAACAATCCAACGTGTAAAATATATGAAGGCAATATCGGATTTTCTTCCCTTAATTGACAGTGACGTCATTTAAAGCTATCTGAGCCTCTATCAGCCAATGATAGACCCTTATTCTTTCTAAGAAAACCAGACAACAATATGTACTTTATACAGATATTCGCGGAGTAAAGTTTGGTAAGAGTGTAATGTAATTTTTTATCGTCTGATTTGAATTTTACAGCAATGCGGTGGGTAGCCGCCAGCCGCCGCATTACGTGTGCTGACGCATTGAGCCGCCTGTAATCCAATAATTAAATGAAGAAGAAACAGCCTTGCGCCTATTGCACTCTACTATAGCGATAGAATATGACTCCATGCTATCAGCAATTGTAAAAGAACTATTGAACGTAACATATACACAGTGTAGACAAAATTGTCACATACTCTACATCAGAATTTTCCTAGTACAGTAAAACCTCGATAACTCAAACATCGGTAAATTAAAAATTAAAAACTTCAAAAAATAATATGTTCCCTTCCCATCAGAGCCCAAAACCTCTACAACATAGACCCTTGATAACTTAAAACCTCTATAACATAAAATATTTTGTGTTTCCCTTAGACTTTAACTTATCGACGTTCTAGTGTATTTATTCTCTTAGACCACTTTTAAAAATTTTACAATAATTCTTTTTCAACAGGTCAATCCTTGATAATAGTAGCATATTTTTTTAAATACCCAGATGAGTTTACGAGTATCGCATATACCAGATAATAAATGCAGTTCATGCAAATAATTGTAACCATAAAAAAGAACACGATCATAATATATGGTAATTAAGTAATAATTACACTCCTACAACCGCCGAGATCGAGAATTATTTAAATTTACTCTTCTTCAACGTGTACCAACTTTTTGCAGTAAGTGTAATGTATATACTTGTTTAAAAAAATTACCACTGTTCAATTAGTATAGTATAGTATAGGAATTAAATAATATCTTTGTATGATTTCTTTCACATCAGGAATCCGCAGTATTATCAAGTCGAAGTTTAGTCTTGCTTTGATTCCTATGAGCTTATATGGAGGTGCGTATACTACTCGAATTTTAGTTATGCGTCTAAACAGTTGAATTGTCTGCTAAACAATCGACAATCGCACTACAGTTGTGCGATAGTTTTGTCAAAGGTGTCCGTCCGCTCTTAAGATATACCTACATATAGGTAGTACGTGCTTGAATTGTAAAACGCCATCAAGTAGGTTCAATGTGCCGATAACAGTATACAACTTTTTTGAATTGTTTTAAAAATGTATGCGTTATTTGAACGGATATCTTTTTGAATCACAACAGTTATTGTACAACCGGATAAAACAAACATTGCACACAAAACAAAAGTTTAATGTTACTAGACACATCAAGTATCATAAACATAAATCTTATTTTATTTATAACTATACTAGCTGTTCCCGTGCGGCTTCATCAGCATGGAATTATAAAAACTTGTTTATATCTTGGTGTAAATTATAAAAAATTTCCTTGTTTAATTTGTCAAATTCACAATTGCAAATGTCACCAATTACCTTACTATGGCAAACTTGCTTCCTTGATGTTGGCAGCAACTTATGGTCTTTTTCTCACATTAGGGTTTTCCAATATTTTTATCCCCTAAGTTAGTAGGGCTTTTTATTAATAAAATAATTATTCAAAAACGTGCTGTAATTGCTGACATCTTAAGCAACAGAGAAGTGTATGTTTACGATTTCTTATAATAGTATAGAGGTATAGATAAATCGCTCTTGATTTTTCTTAATTAAGTTTAACAGACATCATAGTGTCCTTAAAAGTGCTTCTTCCACTACTTAAGGATGAACTATTAGAGGATCATCAAGCATGAAACTCTTTAGTACATGAAACATCGAACGTCAAGGAACGAACTTCGGGTAAAGTTCAGATTAAAATAACCCGCGGCAACTCAACGTGTACTCGCATTTCAGAACTGGTTACGCCAATAAGCTTCGTTACTGTAACCAGTTCAATATCCGCTTCTAAACATAGCAACAAATGTAGATTTTGTTACCAAAAATCATCTAAACCATGAAATATTACACCATTCATGAAATAATATACAACCTTACTTATATGTAACGGCGAATGGATGGATGGATGTTGTGGGAGTTTCTAGCCTAAACTGCTGAACGGATCTTGATAAAATTCGGCACAGATAAGACCACATAGGTTGCTAAGTTATTTTTTAATTCCGAGCGGATGTCGTCGTGGGCGAAAGTTGCTGTACAATAAAGAATTCATATAATTCATTTAATTAAAAGTATAAACTCAAATGTTACTTATCTCTAACATAGGAACCGGTGGCACAGTTGTATGTACAGAACCGGGTCATTAATGTATACGAGAATGTTGTAATGCTTGACAGATGTACTAACATGATAGTTATCTTTACGTAAAATTAACGTATCTTTATCCATTCGTTGGCAGAGGCCTTGAAATATAAATAGTTTGTGGAGCAAGGCCCTGACGGGAGTTGTGTACACGAGGGTTGAGACTGAGCAGGCAAGAAAGAACTGGTTGCAGTAATTATAAATTTCTGCAGTGGGAACGCACCTTAAAAAGTAATAAAGTACGCGAACTTAGCATAATTAGGCACAATGCGGATATTTTTTTTAAAAACGCGTCTAATTATTAAGTTTAGTCTCCGGAACATCCGGTATACTTGAGGGAAATCCAGTAACTTAAGAAGCGGAAACGGATTTAAGCTTCACCCTTTGTAATGATCGCACCTTACGCAAGTTTTTTGACTGGGTGTGAAAAATACGATACGCAAATGTAATTTGTGACAATGAAAGATCATTTTTGTATAATTTTTAAACAAAGAGAAAAGTTCCTCCGTCTCACCACTTGAAAACAAACTTATCTATACCAAAACACCGTGACGTGATGCTTCGGTGACCGCATTCACTATGGGTTTATGGGTCTTTGACCGTTCTAAATGCATTTGAAAATAATGAGCTTGTAAACCTTCGAACTGGTCTTTTGTAATTATACGTCTCCGGTAGCCTCAGAAATTATCGGATAAAAACTTTTCATTCATTATCTTTCTATAGCTACAAGCTTTTTAAAGCTCCGTCACTAGAGTAATATAGGTTTAAGTGGATCAATTTACTTTAAAGTAATATCACTGAGGGCAATAGGGAGCACGGGGGGTTGCGTCGGGGGGCGGTAGGCGGTGAGCGATCGATGTGCGACTGTCGGCAGCCACGCCACGCTACCCCGGTCAGGGTCGAACTTACGCTACCCCTGGCTACCGGCTACTGCCGCTAACGCTTAAGTTCCTTAAACGCAGCCTGCCAACATTTTTACATAACAACCTCATCAGTTACTTTTTGGACATCTACACAGCGATCTTTTGGAATAACATTCGCCAGATCGGCGCCGCGTATGTAATGAGATAGTATTTACGAGTATTCACAAATTATTTGTATAGTTAGAATATATATAATATATTTATTACGCATATCTATACATATAATAAAATTAGAGTGTCTGTAATATGAAAACAAAAATTCCAGATTACAGGAAGATGATGTATTTGCGTTGCTGATAACAAAAATCGCATTTAATTATTTTTTGTCTGTCTGCCCGCAAGCCAGCGTTTGTTTCGGGTAATCTCCGAAACGGCTGGGACTATTTATACACAGGCATATTATAGGCTACTTTTTTTAATTCCGCGCTGTCAAAATGGCGTAACGGTTAGTCCATATTTGGGCTAACGAAGTTTGCGAGCTACAACTCGTATAAATACATTTCAATATAATACGACCTTAATTTTATCAAAGAAACATTGATTTTCGGCGAATTGTTAAAACAAATTATTTTATTATGCTATTGTACATTATCATATTACAATACGAAATGTTTTATGTCTGATTATTGCAAGTATACATATAAATGAGAAATAGTTGGCCTCGCCATTGACACATACGATAGGTGCTTTACGAATTATTAAGATATTTGATGATATTACAAAAAGTTGTTTTTACTTCAGGTCATGCGCAGACGCAGCGACTAGAAGCTATAAGCCAAAAGAGATCAACCGTGTACATCTTCGTGATCGTAAAGAGTTAACAATAAGATAGGGAAGTAATCTGTTAATTTGTACACCGCTCTACAATGTTCTACAACTTTTCATAAAATCGAACAAACTGAATTCCAATAGGAATAGTTTACTTAAGTTCGGTACATTTCTCTGAACTGTGAATGTTTTGGCTACGCATTCTGTTTTCATATAAATCATTTTATGGTATTGTTATATTATAATATACTATGTAAGCACTGCTACGACTTCTTACAACACCTAAGGTGGTCTGATATAGAAATCCGACAAGTTTAAAATCCATTTTATTATGCTGGCAACAATAGCAATAAATTGTAAAGTTTTCGTTTTTTCAACGAGTCAAAATAACTGGCCATTTTCTGTTATCAGCGACAAAGCCGGAAAACTTTTATAAAATTTATTACAAATAGAAAATGTATTGAACGAAAATGTAATGAAATAGAAAAGCCGATCTTAAACATTTTATTAAATAAATTACGAATAAAAAATAACATCCAAGTAATTTTTTGCTACTATGTCAGTTTTTAAAACCATGATTTTCGCGCCTAACGTCTTATCTTTGCCGTTCGTCTGCACCTTTCTTTGTTAATAAAGTAATCGATACGTAGTATATTGTTTATTTTATCTTGATTTAATAATTTAGATTAGTCATTAAAATTATCAATGGAACAAAGGTATTTATTGCCGACAGAATTGAACAATAAATAATACGCATTGAATGTATTCAATAAGGATTACACACAAATATTCCGATCTGTTTCGATATCTAGATACAATAACATTTATGGAGGTGCGAAAGGGATCTTTGTAAAAAAATCTTCCAATTGGAATTACAAAATCTACCAATGTTTTTGCTTAATATAGTAACTATAAACGGCGAATGTTTTTGTTGTCGGAAAATGTATTGAGTTCTAATTAAAAAAAAATACAAAGTAATAAACGACAAATCAGCCACAGACAAAATAACAAGATTTCTATTTTTTTCTTCGTTCAAAAAGTTATCTCCTGTAGATTAGAAATAACCGTGGATTTACTAGGAGTTACGAAAATCATGTATAAAAATCTTATCGATGAAATAGATATAATAATGTTTTTGTCTCTTTAAGACTGGGTTCACTGACATGCACTATCTTAATACAATTACAATCTGCGATATTAAAAAAATAACAGATGAATGAATACATTGTTCGCCGTCGCAATTCACATACCAAAAGGGTTGCAAACAAAATAGTCCCCAATTGGTGACAATGAGTCATTAAACGTTACATCCATGCATATTAATTATTTTAAAGGAAGTGTTTGTGACATAGAAAGCACTACTATAATGATCGACGTATTGGATGTTACCTGACTTTAAAATACAATACATAATAGCATTACCGTGTCAAGATAACCTGAAATAAAATATAAATCGAGTTTCCCAGTTTGTACATTTAATATAGAAGGCAAACACAATTTAAGAGGCCGTTTGTGACGTACGCAGATGTTTCTATTTATTTTAAAAATCATGTCGGATACATTGAACTCTCGCTTGCTTGTGTACTCTATAAAACGTTGGTGATATGGCTGTTTAATTTTATAATGCCGTACTACAGTTAAGCTCCATTTTTTAAATTTCAGCCTTAGATGCTTTTTGCTATATTCAATGGAACATCAAAGCAACGTTGTAAGAAATTTTCGAATTCATGATGTTCGTTAAGATGAACTTTGTAGCGATAAATTATTCTTAGAACACAGAAGGAAAGCGGTACTGCAATTAGTTACATAAAGGAACACAATAACACGTTAGGAATATAACAAAGTCATTGTTTGAAATTAATTTGTCCCATTATCTCATTTGTAATTTATTCGGAATCTATTCGTTGTATTTCATACAGAAATTAATTTTAGATTTATAACCGCAATTTAAAATTTTATTCAACTTTTCTATATAAATGACATAAAACTGTAATAATACTTACTTCAAATCCCGAGGTAAAGTTTTGATAATGACGTAAATGCGTTTCCTGTAGCGGTAGAGGCAGGGTGCGACCGCTAGGAGAGCGAAAATCGCAGCTTTGGAGAGGGTGCTCAGCACGGCGGCCATCGCTGCCGCCAGTGCCATCAGAGCGACGAGCGCCGCCAAGATCGCGTCCATGCTGGCGCCCGGCCCAGTGGGACACGTCGCGGTATGTCCGGCCGCGGCCGACGGTAAACAACGTTAGTAAGAGTCGCACTACCCGTGGGGACGAACGCGTCCACCGATCACCGACAACGCTTTGTGAATGCGCGAAGGACATGCGCCGCGTGACGCGAGTAATGGCGTCGCTCCCCTCGCCGGCGTCGCCAGATGCATGCGCGGACAACAGCTGATCCCTTCGCTGGGGATACACGCACAAAAAAACTTAACAATGTATACAGGGTAAACGTTTAACAAAATTTTACATCACCGATGCCTTTTCTATCGGATATAGTGACGTTTCAGTGGAACGATTTTGACAGAGCTTTCAATTTCGTAAAAAGAATTTGTTTATATTGATTTAAGAAGATTTTAAGAAGGCTGAGGTTTATCTGTGGAAGTAAATAGGTTTCTATCACTCAGGCCTGCGGCAGGATTTCTACGTGTCTAGGAATACAAACGGTGTTATAGTAGCCTATCCTACAGTATAGTATTTTAGCATGAACTGCGAACATTGTTACCCACTGATAATATCTTATCTACTACTGCGACTCGTACTATTACTATCTTTGTTATCAAAAAGTTAAGCAAACTGTGCTCTCTCAAAACTCCACATATAATGTCGGAAAACTGAATTATTTCAAATTCTTAAAATGTATTACTCTTGTTAAATAAATGCTATTTATGTTAGCAATTTTAATTTAATAATTAAATTGGTATGTTGGTAAATAATACACCATAATTATATCTTTAAAATACACATATAATTACATAAACAGGCATCTAGCAAAGTCACCCATTACCTTTAAAACCTTACACACTAAGTGTAAACATAAATCAAAAAGCTATAATTTTCAGTCTTTACACATTCAGAAAATGGAATGAATTAGTTCTGAAAATTACATTGAGATTGCGGCAAGTCGTTATATTGCAAAATATTAACCAGATAATAATTATTTTAATGAATGTACTTTATACAAGTTAATGTTTTCATACTTAGAAATTCGAGTATCCCTTAAAAGTGTATTAATTTCAAAGAAAAAAAATTAAAACCCGATACCTCCACATCACACTGGTTGTTTATTTTTAATGTGGGTTTACATTGCAACCGTTCCAAAATTTAAAAAAAAAATTTAAGAATTTGGGCAGTTTTTTTGAAATATTTTTTGTAGTATTCATCACAAAATTAAAAATTATACAAAAGTCACAAGTTTTATTTCAATTCCTTTAACATAACAATGCTATAAATATGCAACAAACGCAAAATAACGTAGAGCTGCAAATCTTGTTTATAAATGTCTTTTATTGCTATTTGAGACTCAAAGGGGTAAAATACAAATCAAAATATACAAACAAATTACATAGATATTAAGTACATCCAGTATGTAAGTTTTACAAAATAATGAGTTCACAATAACACGATCTCTTTTATACGTTTAGAAATGTATTTTAAAATTTTTCATTAGACCTTATTTCTAAAAACAAAGAAAAAATAAAACATTAATTTTTTTTCCCTTCTAAATACAATGAGTTAATAAACGACGGTACAGTAAAAAAGATTCAATATCAGATACTCTAGACTATCATGTTATTGTGTACACATAAACAGATAATATAATACATACTTATATTACATAGACAATTATCACAAAGCATTAAGCCATTATCTAAGTTAAACGAAGAAAATAAAAACATCTTGAGTTATTGATCTACTTAGTATATAACTACACAAACATAACAAGTATTATTAGACAAGGATATTATCTATCTATACATATAATAAAATTGGAGTGTCTGTTTGTAATATCAAAAGGAAAATTCCAGATTACAAGATGATGTATTTGTGTTGCTGGTATTGAAAATCGCATTTAAAAAATGTTTGTCTGTCTGTCTGTCCGCAAGCTGCTTTCGCTCCGGGTAAACTCCGAAACGGCTGGGCCGATGATAGATGGGTATATTATAGGTTACTTTTTTATCTTAATATTGCGTAGACGAAGTCGCGGACAACAGCTAGTATAAACATATAATCTACCGCTTCTTATTGTTTTAATAAACGATGTTTTGAATTAGATAGAATTTTTTTAGTCCCGTTTTGATACAAAAATCAAAGGTTAGTTTTACAAATATTGTATTTAAAAAGAAAATATTTTGTTTATACGGGACTCAAATACTACTATCATATTTTCATCAATAGAATGTTCTAGAAGATCTAGAGGATTGTTTTGTTTTTAAACTCTTTTTTTTCACATTATTAATAAAGTTTTTTTTAATTATGTTTAAATTGAATGTTATGTATTTTATGACCATTAATACTTTAAACACTATGTCCGATTTTAAAGTGTTAATATTTTTTTTTATTCAATTTGCTTTCCCTTAACAAGGGAGCAATCAGTCGGGCTTCCTGATTTTTCATTATTACTTGAGACTATCTCTTTACAGTCTTATTTTTCCATTTACTATTTTCTCATACTCGTCCTTGCCGAGCGGCAGGTAGTCCCCTTGTTTCATATCTAAATAGTATAATTTATCATTCTTTACCAAACTGGGATCAAAGCCCTCCTTTTGTAGGTCGATTTTCTTCATTTTAAATGTACCTGGAAATACAAAAAATATGAATAAAGTTAATACGAGCTGTTCTCGTGTAGCTTCATCCGCATGAAATATAAGCATTTTTTATTGTTTATATTTTTTAAATTTTCACTTGCACTATCAAAATTCAAATGCACACAAATGACAACGAAGGTTTTTGACATTACATAACAACTACCGTTACCATGGAAACCTTGCGTCCTTTATGTTGTCAGCTTGTAGGTTTTGTCTCTTTCCCGCATGACGGTTTTTAGTTTTCAAATTATTTACTTCCTTATTTTAATAGCGTGAAAACATATAGCCTGAAGCGTGTCATAAGTGTAGGGTTTTTATTAAAAAAGTGATATTCAAAAATACATTTAATTGCTGATTATATTAGTAAAGATTTTGTAATAAAGGAGTCGACCATGATGTTTTATTAATCATATTATTGTAACTTTGGTCTGAAAATAGCTGATGTTCCAAGAAAAAAAAAATGTTTACAAAGGATTTGATTAGTGACAATACAGGCAATGTAAATGTTACCGGTCATATCGACGGCGCTCATAACGCGTATGAAGACGGGGCGGGCGTACGCGGGCAGGTGCTGCGCCAGGTCCCGCGCCAGCCGGCTCAGCTGCAGCGACCCGTCGCCGTCCACGATGCCGCACATGCCGGCGCGACCTTCTGTGTTCGGTACCTACAAAATGATTTATTGCATTACATGGAAAATTTCGATTCATTATCACATCACCAGCTCACTATACGTCCCGACTGAGAGCCTCGGAGCCTTTGTTTTTGCCGAAGGGGAATGCTTTACGCTTACTCCGTGCCTCGGGGCTGACACGAGAGTTATGTGGGACTCTCCCCCCATTATGGGTGGCATATCCACTAAACCCCTCAGTTCCCTCAAGGCCATTGTGTGTCATCTACCACATCCGATAGTTAAATGGTCAATCAGTCTGTTGATATCGTTTATTTTACTAAGTTTTCTTTCAAGGCCTCACTTAGCGACAATTTATTGACTGAGACAAATGTTGGGTAAAAAAGTTTTATGTAACACTGTCTGCAGAGATCTACGGTCAGGTGGATTTAATTTTTTGTCGAACCAAATCGTACGGAAACGCAAAAAACATAAATGACGTCTATTATAAAATCATTTTCATGAGCTCATTGCAATTACGAGACGAGACGGTCGGCTCATTTACTAATACAAGAAAATTTCGACAGGCAAAATAAAAATCATTCGCTACAATAAGTTCATTTGGAGGTGACTTATAGAATAAATTTATTAAGTAATAATTTACCGTATATTAATAAGATACTTCTATACTGTATAAAATATATTATTCTTACTATGTATCATTATAGAAATTAAAGAAAAGTTAAGAAAGGCAATTTGCAAATCTTACACGGCTGAGGTTAGTTGGGCGATGGCCTAGGGCACTTTAAGGCTCGCCAATATTAGTCTCACTTAAATATTAACCCTCTCCCCTCCAAAGCATAGGGGGCGCTGTAGAAATGTCGCCTATCACTAATAACGCTAAAACCGGTACAGAGTTGATACACATAAAAACCACAGACTCATAAAATTCAAATATCTTGCATATTTAAATGAATAAACATAAAAGTAATAATATTGTATTGACATACCAGGACATAAACAAGTATTATATATAAAAAAAACATACAGACGAATTGAGTACCTCTTTCTTTTGTTAAGTCGGTCAACAAAGGTAGAGAAAAGAAAGTATGGATGGATTGTGTTAAGAGTACATAAGAGATGTCTGGTCTTCAAGATACTCTTGCACATACCTTCCATAGGGACAAGATCAAGTTATGACTTACCAGGACTCCATAAACGACAGCATCCCTGTGGTCCGCGACCCTGGAGATGGCGGCCTCCACCTCGGTGGTGCTGACGTTCTCTCCGCGCCAACGGAACGTGTCCCCCGTGCGGTCGCGGAAGTACAGGTAGCCCAGCTCGTCCGCCACCAGGATGTCTCCTGCACACATTATATTGCAACTCTCAACTTATTTGAAGCGGCAGAGATTTTTCTATTCTGTCCGTTTTTGTGGTACCAGGTGTAGGACACCGTGTATATTATATATACATTTCTGTACTGTAAGCGAAATACGTATCAGACTTTTTAGAGCTTGTTTTTTATTAAACATGTTAAATAAAAAAATAATAAAACATTAATCATAAAAGCGATTTTAATCAAGTCTTACGGCTGTGTTGTGCAACGATTTTTAAACACTTCGCTTCGCTTCTTACAATCTAATAGACGTTATTTTAAGAATAGTTGGAGTTTTGTTATCTTTTTAATTGAACACGCTAATACTAAAGCTACAATCGTCTGAACATTTTAAAACGAGGTAAAGACCAACTCAATACAGCGCAACTTATAAATATCGGCTAGTTTCTTTTTATTATTATGCCTTTGTTTACAGCACTTACTGCTATCTAATTAGTTATTTGTAAGAAAAGGTGAAGTCTGTCATGATAGTGAACACCCAATATTTCCTGAAGAGGAAGAGCGCAGGTTTGCGCGATTGTACATATTTAGATGTAGTTTCATTTGGCAATGAATGTTTCTCCGTGGGTTTCCAGTGGGATGATTATTTGATCAATAGTTACCAGATATGAATGCGGAGTCTCCGTACTTGAAGACGTCTCTAACGACCTTCTTGTCGGAGGCGGACTTGTCGACGTAGCCGAGGTACTCCCGCGTCGGGTTGTTGGGAGATATCTTGCCGATGAACACGCCCGGCTCGTCCGGAGCCGCCACCTGAACAACTTCTTAGTTGAAATCATCTTCCTCCTTATGCTACTCTCGTAAGGTCGACGAAATAGGTTTTTGTCCTCCACATAATTCTATCATACGTCATCACAGTCATAACTCCCTTCTTGATCACATCACTTTTCACGCAATCCATCCATCTCTTTCTAACTCTACCTATACCGGTGAAAGGGCCGCACTCATAACTAAAGTTTATACAAAAAAAAAAAAATTTCACACTTGTACACAACAAATACAAACAAATGTCTCTCAAAATCAAACTCTCGTAAACTAATTCTACTTCGAATAATACACTACAATGTATCTCATTTATCGTAACACTGTTAAAAGATATTTTTATATTCATAAAAATACTAGCTTTTGCCCGCAACTTCATCTGAATTTAAAGTAAATAAACTAGGAGCCTGTCTGTCCTGACTATGTATTTACATCTGTGGCAAATTTCAGCAACATCAGTTTAGTTTTGGAGATATATAACAAACAACCCATACTTTCACATTGATAATAATAGTAAAATGTCGCTAAAAGCACAAATTGACTGTTTAATATCTTACTTGGCAGAGTCCCCGCGAGTCCCGAATGGGCTCCCCTGTCTCCTGGTCCACTTTGATGATAGCTATGGGGTAGATACTGGGCAGGATGCGGGACACGAACCCGATAGCGCCGGGGGTACCGTCCGTGTTGGCTAAAACAATAAAACTCCTTAATAACACTAATTTGATACTATCTATCTATACTAATAAACGTAAACACACACTTCTTTGTGGCGTAAGATGTCAGCAATCACAGTATATTTTGGAATAATCCTTTTTTTAATAAAAACCTCTACACTTACGTCACGCTTTAGGCTATATTTCACGCTATTAAATTTAGGTGGCAAATAAATTAAATAAAATCCCTAATTTGGGAAAGAGATCTACTGCCAACATCAAGGAAGCAAAAATTCTATAGTAAGGTAATTGGTATTTTGACATTTGCTAAATAACTTGATAAATGTAAACAATAAAATAAAGTTTTTATAATTTCATGCGGATAAAGCCGCACGAGAACAGCTAGTCTAAAAACAATAGTAAATGTAAAACAAAAAATAAATACCTATGTTAGCATTGCCTTCTGTAGCTCCGTAAAACTCGACCACATGTTTGATATTAAATCGCTTGAGGAAATCGTTCCAGATCTGAAACAAAAAAGTTATTGAAATTTCATAGTTTAATTTTAGCCTAATTTCAATATATAACTAAAAATTATTTGTGCGAACTGTATATGGTTGATATAATTATTGTTATAAAGCGATTTTGTTCATTATTATGCGAATAAATAATGACTTCGCTGACCCGTTGATAATCGAGTCGCCCACACCTACGGGTCGCTATATTGTGCATTACATAATACTTGCTCTTGTTTCTATACGAACATGTTCCAATTAAAATAAATTCTACTTTTAAACGTATTCATTGTACGTATTTTTACGACTTCACTGTTTTATCTGCAAACGAAACTTTCCACATTATAAGATATTATTATAAAAGAGCTGCTGCCAGCAAACTTTGTTAACATGGAATTTTAAAAAAATGGTCGTCTATATCATTCCCACGTGCATCTACTTTTTACCAGCTACCTTCCAGTAAAAGTCCCGTCCAAATCGGACAACCCGTTATAGCGGTACGGTCGCCATTTTGACAGCGCGGAACAAAAAAAAAGTAGTCTATAATATGCCCGTCGAAATCGGCCCAGCCGTTTCGGAGACTACCCGGAACAAAAGCGGCTTGGACACAGACAGACAGACAAAAATTTTTTTAATGCGATTTTCGTCATCAGCAACGCAAATGCATTATCTTCCCGAAATCTGGATGTATAGAATAGAAGAAATGAAAAAAAATATACGAATCATTTCACTCTCAATGTTGATATAAGTTCTATGTCTTAAAAGCTTATAAAATAAAAAAAAAGCTATATAACCTGTGGCCTCAGTCCGTTGCCGAAGATGACGCGCACGTTGTGCTGCGTGTCCGCGGGCGAGGGGGGCGTGGCCAGCACGTAGCGGCACATCTCGCCGATGTAGTGCGCCACCTGCGGGAAAACAACACAACTAAACATATTACTATACCGTATTTACCAAAAAACGATTAATCTTACTAATATTATAAATGCCAAAATTTGTATGGATGGATATTTATTAGAGTTTGTAGCCTAAACTGCTGAACGGATCTCGTTATTTTGCCATAGATGTAGAAGATAGTCTAGAAGAACACATACGCTATTCACTTTTATTTTGTTTTTAATTCCACGCGGACGGAGTGGCGGGCGAAAGCTATTATTACATAAGGACATAAATCTCCTAACATAGACCTTGGAAGATCTTTGTTTGAATGGATCTTGAATTTGATGGTAACCACGCCTTTTTTGGTTTTGGCATTCTCATTTTTCAAGTTCAATATATTAAAATCTCAAACGACAGTAGTAATTTAAACATTAATATGCATTATTCATAGGTGTGGCTTTTTATGATCCAAGGTTAAATGTAACGTTTTAAGGTCCAAGGATAAGTTATAAGTATAGGTTTGTTAAGCGATTTCGAATCATAAAAGAACACGGATTATATTGGTCGTAAAAAAAATAAAAACTATATTACTGAGCCAGAATTATAAAAAAGGGTCCATCCTATCAAATAAAAAGAAATCAGAACATTGTTGGGAATAGAGCCAACATTTAAAATATCATTAACATGATGATAGGTACACCGGTAGAGGTAGACATAGAAAGAGATGGATAGATTGCGTGAAAAGTGACATGATCAAGCAGGGAGCGATGACTGAGATGATGTATGATAGAGTTATTTGGAGGACAAAAATCTGTTGTGTCGACCCTATCGGAGTAGGATAAGGAGGATGATGATGATATTTTTTTAATAATAGCGCCAATCTGTAAAGATTCTAGTCAGTGGAGTTTATTGTTGTGTTAAATTAATTACTTTGTTAAGTCGTATCTTAATGCATAGTTATAATAGTTCCGAGTATTTTTCCGCTGTAAATTGATTTACACAAGCAGAAATAGACAAGCAGACAATCTTTTTGAATCAGTTTTTCCTCAATCATTATCAACTATTATTTAATTGTACAATGTAACATTTGATTAGTATCTTAATTGAATAAAATTTGAATTTTATATCATAACTAGTTGTTCCCATGCGGCTTCATCCGCTTGTAATTATAGAAACTTTATTTTATTGTTTACATTCGTCAAATTCTCATTGCAAATGTCAAAATTACCGTTACCATAATTACATTGCTTCCTTAATGTTGGCAGCTAGAAATTTTTTTCAATTATTTACCCCCTGTTTATTAAAGTGAAAATATAGCCTAAAGCGTGTCGTATTTGTTGGGCTTTTTATTTAAGAAGGAGTTATTCAAAAATATGCTGTGATTGCTAACATCCTAAGCCACGAAGTAGTATATTATTATTAGTATAGGAGTATAGAAGGATATAAACTTACCGTAGCATTATATTTCGCGCAGTCTGGGAAAAATTGTGACGCAGAGAATTTGCTCTTGAGAATGACCGTGCATCCAAACAGCATCGCCTGGCCCACACTGATGACGCCGCCCGCGGTGTGGTACAGCGGCAGTGGACAGTATATCGTGTCCGAGGACTGAAGCCTCATGTGATGTATCGCTGACGCCATGAACACAAACCTATGGTAGGAGAAACATACTAAATAACTCCTTTTAACAGAACATAAACAAGATCAACAGAACTTGATAATGCTCTTTGTTGTATAGACCCTTTTTCACTACGACCAAGGTAGCTTGCTAGGTGGAAAAAGGATCTTAATGTTTATCTTGTACATCTTTATAAACATGTTTTTTATGAAAAAAAAAATCTGATTGTGCGTGAGTTAAAGATAAGATGGTCTGAATGTATATTTGAAGAAGGAATATTATTATTATTTTTGTAATAGGAATAAAGATTCATATTTTATTATAGTAAATTTTTTCAAATAAATAAAATCTTTAGTACATGATTCAAGTGCTGTGGCAAATCATTTGATTGTTGGTGAAAGTGAAAATGAGGCCGAGCGGGAAAGTAAAACGGAGGAACGGCGCGAAGTGGGCACAGACCACTTCACGGACATGTACGGTATACCGACATAGGTAAACATTTTGATAAATCGAACAAACCAAATATTAAAGATAAACTAATAGAATCAAATGCAACCTAAACACATTCTATGCCACTATTTACCGTAACAAATACCATTGTAATGAAAATGACGATGCTAGGGGAGTTTTTGAATGTGTTGAAATACTAAAATAAACCAAAGCAAAATTGGGTAAGTTATAACTCAAGTTAATGCCGATATCGAATTCAATTACTCAACTAGTACAATAGCTGAAGAATGTAAGATTCATGTTTTATTAATGAGTTAACCACTAACCTAGAATTAGAAATAACAGCTGCTTTCGGAAGACCTGTGGTACCAGAGGTGTAGATATATAACAATTTTCCATGGAATCCGTCTCCATCTGCCAAACTCCAAGGAGCTGGGGGTGTAGTCTCCAACATGGCTGTAAAATCTCTGATACTGTCGCCGCTACCATCAGCTGATTGCGATGGGTTCAACGGCCGATGTGTGAATTTAAATAATTTAATTGAGGAACCAAGCTCACTGGCTATGTCTTGTATGGCTGAAATTAACTGAATGATAAATAGGCAATTCTTCATTAAATAAAAAACAAGTAGTAATAAATGTTTGCTATAATTAAAACATACATTTTGCTAATGCTTAAAACAATTAACAACAAGCTGTTTTACAGTGTCTAATAACAATAATTTGTCGAAAATACTAAATCATACTAATATTATAAATGCGAATGTTTAGATGGATGGATGGATGGATGGATGTTTGTTAGAGTTTGTAGCTTAAACGGCTGAACGGATTTTGATGAAATTTGGTATAGATGTAGAGGATAGTCTGGAAGAACACATAGACTACTCGCTTTCATTTTTTTTAATTACAAGCGAACGGAGTCGCGGGCGAAAGCTAGTAAATCATAATAATTAATCACACATGATTCATATGTAAACTAAAGTAGTGATAAAAATCTTTATATCCTAGTTCTGAAAACCATAAAAAGTTTATGTGTAATAGTTAAATAACAAAACAATATGCTATTGAAACTATTTTTCAAGAAAAATTTAAAGTATGAGTCATATAAGCCTACCCTTACTTAGGGGGGACTCGGCTTGTAGATTTACACCAAATCTTTGAATCTCTTGAATGAAGTTGCCGCTTATATTGAAGCATGAAATTGTGATCCCTTTACTGTGAAAACATTGCATAATATTCAACAATATTCATACCTGCTTGGAATTCTTCGGAAAATATTAACACATCACATTTGGCAACATTGATTGAATGTATCAACGCATTTCCTCTCTGATTGGTATTAATAAGTGGTGTTATACCACCCAGTCTTGCGTTACCCAGCCATAATGCTGGCAACTGCGGGCAATTGTTAACCAACAGACCCACAACATTTCCTTTCTTAACACCATTGGCTTTTAGTACCGCTGACACACGTAAACTAAAATCTTCAACCTACAAGAAAAACTCTAGTAAATATTTTTAGTATCATCATCATCTCCCCCTGCCTTATCCTACTCCCGTAGGGAGTATCATCCGTCATCTCAGTCATCACTCCCTTCTATGATCATGTCACCTTTAACGCAATCCATCCATCTCTTTCTAGGTCTACCTATATTTTTAGCAATTACAAAAATTATTATATTATGTACTAATGGCATTTTTTCATATACCTAATCACGATAATTCTATTTACATACTTAGATATTTTGTAGAAATAAAGATTTTAATGCTCAGCGGAACCTTGAGAGATAGTAATCTTAAAAGTGACACCAATTTTTAAGACGCATATAGTTTCATAAAACTTATTAAGGGATAACTGTCGTAAATCAAAATAAGCTTTTGTATAAAACTACAGATCTTATTTTTACTTACAAATGGTATTAATATCAACAACAATAAAAATTATTGCAAGATTAGTAGAAATATGTAAACCAAGTTAATAGTTTTACGACTCCTAAATTAAAACAGAACTACTATTCCATAAATCTTAATATAATAAAGGTCCTTATGATACAAAGTTCATATGTCTTAACCTTGATAATAATTAATAGTTTATAAACTTCTGAAGCAGATCCATTTTTTTCAATAAACAAGTACAGTAGAACCTCGATAACTCAAACCTCAGTAACATAAAAACCTCTATAACTTCAAAAAATAATATGTTCCTTTCCCATCCAAGCCCAAAACCTATAACATAGATACTTGATAACTTAAAACCTCTATAACTTAAAATATTTTGTGTTTCCCTTGGACTTTAACTTATCAAGGTTCTACTGTATATTGTTATATAGCACAGGAATCAAATGACATCACAGTTTAAAAATTAATATATTCCATGCAGCTACTACATTTCATATTTAAAGTTATATTTAAAAACTCTTCGGACATTATTTTTTATTATTCAGTTTTATTGTCACATAAATTGCCAATGAATACCAGATTTGAATACTAAAGTGATCCATGCTACGACATTAAGATGTGAAATTTTTAAACTGCACTTAAATTAACAGTTATATTTAAACAAAAAGGGTGATAAAGCAATTTTATGTATCAGGTACATAACATTTAAATACAATACCTATTCATGTAAGGAATGAAACTCTACTGAAAATGTTAATTGTGATTTATATGCATATACTTAATACAATGTTCTTGTAATCCAATTAGATTCTTGAAAAATGTGATTGTAAATGTAGTTCTTACAAATAATAATTTTTAGGGTTGAATTGTTGTAAGTTACCTCTTTAAATGACCAAGTTTCATCTTGAAATACAAAACAGGGTTTTTCCGGATGTCTCTGGACTACAAAATGAAATATATCAGGCAAAGTCCAATTCTTCCTTGTCAGCTGCCAAGTGAGTAGCAATATCTTGAAGTAACAGATTAATGCTCTGAAATTTAAATAATAATTAATTTTTTCATTGCTAACAGAAACAAAAATAAATAGTAGTTCAATTAACAGGTACATTATGACATAATGTTATTTGTTGGTTTTAACATTTATAACTTTTGAATATTAATTAAAAGAACAATCTTCAAGGACATATACATTATGTACCATATAAATAAAATGTTTTACTTAACATTTTTATTGTTTATTTTCAAATAACTTGTTAAAGGTACTGGTATATTATAATTAAAGCATTTAAAAGTATAGTTCAAATGTGTAAACAGGTCAGGTTACTTAATAACTTAGTAGGACAAAGTACAAGGCGGAAGTTTACCTGAGATCCCTTGGAACGGTCACTAGTGCTACGTAGCACCATCTTGTATGGAATATTACGGCATACAAAATACCTAGACCGAGACCAACACCGCATGTTGCAAAGAAACCGAGAAACCACCAAACGGCACAAAATGCCGCTAAAATAGCGGCCACTAGGAGTATCATCGCGACCGCTTTGCACCACGAAGCGCGGTTAACTGTTACAAACCAACAACATCGTCGACGCACACCGATCGTTGAAAATCTTCGGTTCGCCAGGTCGCTAACCCGTTAAACTTGTTTAACCATACGATATGAATTTTAAATACTCCCGCCAAACTCACATTGATCATTTAAACTAAAATTGCAATAATACTCTTAAATATATTTTCAGGAGTACTTTCTCTTCTTAAACAATGTCGTTATGTATTTCCAGATGATAAACAATTATAATTAGACTAAAAATATAATGTAAGGTCTCGAATACATTAATCGTTAATACGTTTTAAGAATAGCAGAAAAATGCACTGAGATAAATAATAAACATAACATGTTAAAAATTACAAAATATACAGTGCTCAGCCAAAATGTCCATTAAGAAATGTCAGTTGTCAATGTCATGTCAACAACCATGAATTCTAGCAATGTTAGTGTCAAACTGTCAACCTTTTGACATTTATTATTTTTACAGTTTTTTAAGTTGTAGCCTTGTTGGCCATAAGGTCACAGGTTTGTTTTTGTAACTTACATAAAATGAAATTGTAAAAAAGTATTTTCCCAAAAACTTATGTCACTTGGCGAGAGTGTCACTAATAAAATCATCCTTTAATTGTACGGGCCATACCAATCTGTTGCACTAAGTAATCCTATCATTTTCTCTTTTAGATATTGTTAAATTTGATTACACTAACTATAATAGTTTCTTATTCATTTGTTATAATTTTTTTTTATACTGGTGACCGCTGCCCATAAGGATAAGCAATAACCCAAGAAGTTTCAGATGTTTTGTCTATCTGAACAAAAATAAGAGAAGCATAAAAAAAGGATAATCCCTTTCCCTATCTTCCACGTTAATTTTGTAGTTAGATTGACAGTTGTCGTTTCTGTAATCTTATTTTGATACCTATTTTATGTTACTGTAGAACTAAAAATCACAAAAAGTAAATGGATAAAGGAAACTAAAAATTGTCATGAAAATACATTTTATTGGCTTGTCTACAGTAGGAAATTGATTTGACCCAACAAATTCATAAAAAAGTGTCTTAATTAACATTACACATACATGTAAAAAATATCTAAACGGTACAAACAGTTTTACAAAAAAATATTTTGTTTTGTTTCTTGCGTGGTAGACTGTCTATAGCACAAGCAGCGCAATATTCGTATCATTGCCAAAAATGGAACTACAACCGTGACAGCAATGCTAGCCAGGCCAGTAGGCTGGTTTGTAGTAGTAACTATCGACACTCGAAAGCAAACATCCACCAAACTAATGTTCAACTAATTCTCTTAAAATTACATAAATAATTAATATAAAAACAATTGCTAGTTCTTAATTAAAATCACAGTCTTATTTGTCCTGTCTTAATTTTTTCATATTCCTCAGGACCTAAACTAATGTACTTTTCTGATTTTGGGTCCAAGTAGTAGATCTTGTCCTTTATTATAGTTGGATCGTAACCTTCCTTTTGTAAATCCACTTTCTTTAGTTTAAATGTACCTGGAACATAAAACATTGAAAGATATATAGGTTTTATTAAATACATTATACCTATTATACTTTTCAAAATAGTAAAAATACACTTATATTAATACTAGCTTTTGTACGCGACTCCATCTGCTTGGATTTTTTTAAAAAAAGTAATTAACCTATGTGTTCTTCCAGGCTATCCTCTAGATCTATACCAAATTTCATCGAAATCTGTTCAGCCGTTTAGGCTACAAACTTTAACAAACATCCATCCATCCCTCTAAACTTTAGCATTTATCTATACTATTATAATAAAGCGTAAACACACCTTAATTTGTTGCCCAAGATGTCAGCAATTACAGCATATTTGTGATTAATTCTTTTCTTAATAAAAAGCTCTACATTTGCGTCACGCTTTAGGCTATATATTTTAAAACTTATAAACTTAGGGGGTAAATATTTTGGATAAAAAACCCTAATGTGGGAAAGAGACCATAAGTTGCTGCCAACATCAAGGAAGCAAGGTTGTCATCATGTCATGTTATATTGACATTTGCAATTGATAATTTGACAAATGTAAACAATAAAATGAAATTCCGTGCGGATGAAGTCGAGCGGGAACAGCTAGTAATATTATAGTAGTAATATGATTAGTATGATTTACCTGTCATATCGAGGCTGCCCATAACACGAAGAAAGACTGGTCGGGCATATTTTGGCAGATCCCTCGCCATGTCTTTGACCAATCTCTCGAAGTCCAAGCTGCCGTCCGCGTCAACTATACCGCACATTCCCGCTCGCCCTTCCGTGTTAGGAATCTGTGCAATAAATATTATTATAGCTACGTGTACTTATACAACGGACTAAATTAGATTAAAGATAGCCTTTTCACGTCTGATAATAAGAAAGGGAAGTTTTCCGAGTTAGCCATATACGGCGTTATTATAATGTCTAATGGTTTTTATGCTTTTTACCTCTACGCCGTAAACAACAGCGTCTCTTTGATCAGCGACCCTGGAGATGGCGGCTTCCACCTCGGTGGTGCTGACGTTCTCTCCGCGCCAACGGAACGTGTCCCCCGTGCGGTCGCGGAAGTACAGGTAGCCCAGCTCGTCCGCTGTAAGGATATCTCCTACAAAAGCAGATAGAAAAGTCATTAGTAAATCACTAGAACATAACAATTTATCAAAGATGTTTATAAACTACAAATTATTATCACATATTACGTTATGGGAAAATCCATTCATGTTGTTAATGTGGGTGTAAGATTAATGCTATGACCAAATTATTTGATGTCAATGACCGCAATTAAATAATTTGCATGAAAATAGCTAAGAGTGGATTTTGTTTAAAAAAAATTCTCAACGTCGACCTACTTAATAAATAGCAAATTATATGCTATAATTAAAACGATATTTCAAAATTGGTTTTTAATTGATAATGATTGTTACAATTAGCATGGATTATCTTATAACGTCAATTACTTTTTTGTTTTTTTTTTTATTCCTTGCACTAGCTCATAACAATTATTTTGATACAATAGGTAATAACGTAAGCTAAAACGTCATGAATATATTTTTTTATCAGGTAAGGCGATGAACAAAATGCTTAAGTCGTAAATTACCAGGTTTTTCATTTTTTAGCGTTGTAAAATAAGTAGACTTACCAGATATAAATGCCGAGTCGCCATGTTTAAATACATCTCTGACAATTTTCTTTTCAGAAGCCTGTTTATCGACGTATCCGAGGAAAGCTCTCGAAGGATTGCTCGGGTTTATTTTACCAATAAATACTCCTGGTTCATTTGCTTTTGCCAACTACAAATAAAAAAATAACGTGAAAGTGGAATTACTTTAAGGATATTTTTAGGAGAATAAAGTATTTCATGTTATGAATTCTTTTCTTTTAGATATGGACTAATTTTAACTTTACAAACCTGACAGAGACCACGTGAATTTCTTATAGGTTCGCCTGTGTGCTCGTCCACTTTGATAATAGCTATAGGATACACCGCGGGGATTATTCTGGATATGAAACCAATGGCTCCGGTTTTATTGTCGATATTTACTGAAAAGATTAAAATATAATGAGATAAAAAAGAACCCAATATTGAATTAAATGACAAGTTATGGATAACATTTAATTACCAATGTTAGCGTTTCCTTCTGTAGCTCCGTAAAACTCAACCACCTTTTTGATGTTAAATCTGTTAACGAAGTCGGTCCACACCTGAAATAAAAAACATCCTATTTATTTTCATCTCCCTTTTCTGAATGTTGGTACTGGTATGTACAGTGGAGCCCACACTAATAATCACAGTTTATGAAGAAATCATTACTTACAGTAGGCCTCATCCCATTGCCGTAAACCGTGCGTACTTTGTGCTGTTTGTCGGTAGGTTTTGCAGGAGTTGCCAGTATGTAGCGGCACATTTCACCGATGTAGTGTGCAGCCTAAAGAAAACTTTCACTGTACATATAACTCAATATGGTGTAAATAATAAATAAGATATCAATAGAATTTACGAATTTAAAGATTTTTTTTATATTGTGTCTGATCAAATTATTATTTTTATTAACTTAGGAAAGACTTGCGGCATATTCATTACTTAAATTGAAAAAAATTAATAAGCGTACGAACGATGAATTAATTGTACATAAAAACATTAAACTTCCGACGCCACAGTTGTTTTTATGCAATTTGAATTAATTACTTTGTGTACATTTCAACAGACACATTCAAAGTTGTAACAAAAAATTCAATTATATGACTTCACTTACGGTAGCATTAAATTTGATGCAATCAGGGAAATACGCCGAGGCTGAAAACTTGTTCCTTAGAGCGACTGTGCAGCCGAAGATGAACGCCTGGCCCACAGTGATGCAGCCGCCGGCCGAGTGGTACAGCGGCATCGGGCAGTAGATCACGTCTTTTGGAGACAAACCGCCGAGGTAATGAACTCCAGAAGCCATGAACACCATTCTAAAAACATAAAGTTAATTAGAGCTATAAAAATCTGTTAAAAACAATATATTTTAATAAAATTGCAACTTTGTAACCATTCTGCAGTTGCAGTTCCTGCAAACTATAAAAAGGTCAGGCACCTTATACATAAATATTCGTCTTCGGATAACGACATTATTATCTCAAACTTGTGTTCATATCATATCGTGTAGTATAAAGAGTCAAATTATTAAAAATATACCTAGATGGTGATATAACAGCGGCTTTAGGAAGTCCCGTAGTTCCAGAAGTGTAAATATACAGCAACTTTCCATTAAAACCATCGCTGTCAGAGGGAGTCCAGGCAGCTGGCGAGGTGTTCTCCAGAAGTCCCGTGAAATCGTTTGAATCTTCAACAACTTTCACTGCATCGGATGATACGTTCAATGGACGCCGAGTGAACTTTAACAACTTTATAGAGGAGTCCAACTCTTTCTGTATTTCCTGGAACGCTGTAAATATAAACAAAGTTTTTGAACGTAACCTAAAAATTTAGTTGAGGCAAAATTGAAGAAAATGTACCTTGATTCAATATTTGACACATAAAGGTAAAGGTTACCGAAACCATTGCTCTTTAAAGGTCAAGTCGACGATATTTCAACGGACATTTTCGAAAAAGAGGTGAATATTACATATTAGGGCAGGAACATACGTTCGTTTCGTCCAATTTAATTATTATGTATATTCGATCGAGGTGAAGGACCAAGTGTATTGGTAATGTTAATGCAAACAGAAATATACATAGTCCCTTGACCCCTGGGTACTCACGCAACTCACTGGTTTTAGATATTCAAAAAGATTTTTTATAACACAACTGCAAACATGGCTTTTATCGTCGATATTTGTACATAAATTAATGCTTTTAATTATATTTGTTACCTAGATTCTAAATTATTAGAACATAGCGGTGAACCTTTGATAGAGTGTTTCGAGGAAGACTCGCACATTTTATTTATAAAATTTCACATTGTGTTATCTCTTCCTAAAGAACTCAATTCAACGATCGTAAAAACTGCATAAAAATATGGTCAATGTTTTATTAGCAAGGAAACGACAGTAAATAAGTCCTTTTGTTATTATAATTTTTATGTTGAATATGTGAAATACACACGTATGTCATAAACACGTGCAAACAAAATTATAATTATACTTAATGGGCGAGAATTATTCAGCGAGGGATTGAGACAAGCACACAAGTGCAAAAAATTACATAGTAGCTATTAAGTTGTGTTGAAATTGATTACATAAGACTTACCGTCGTCGAACTCGCTACAGTAAATAACAAGGTTGCATTTGGCAACATTGATGGAGTGGAGGAGAGTGTTGCCAGTCTGGTTGGTGTTGATGAGTGGCGCGACCGCCCCCAGCCGCGTAGCGCCCAGCCACAGCGCCGGCATCTCGGGGTAGTTACCCGCCATCACAGCTACCGTGTCCCCGCGCTTCACACCCTTACTCTTCAATGCTGCTGACACCCTCAAACTAAAATCTTCAATCTAAAACACAAAACCGAAATAGTAAATAAGAATTTTAAAATTAATTTTTATGTAAAAAAAACAATTTAATTAAATAATAAAAAAGTTGTTAAATTTTTTACCTGTTTAAAAGTCCATGTCTCGTCTTCGTAGAGGAAGCATGCTTTATCAGGATGTCGCAACACCACGTTATGAAATATTTCAGGCATTGAGAAATTCTTCTTCGAAAACGATCTCGTCAATGATAAAATTTTTAAATAGCAATATAACGCCCTAGAAAACAGAATACGTTAAGAAGAATCTTACATTATTATAAAATAAAGAAGTAATCAATAAGATTTAAATTAACTCACGAGAAATCTCTCTTTGCTGTCCTGAGTGCCACCCAAAGCCATCTCCAATAAAATAAAATGACATAAACTACAAAAATGATAGCGAAGACTTGAAGACTCGTCTGCCAGTCTTGGAATACCCAAGTTGTAGCGCACGCCGCTAACAAAACGCAAATAGCCACGACTATAACCATGACTTTACTCCACGGCACACTAGATGCTAAATATTCTATCCGACCTTTTTCGACGTCTACGGATTGCTTGATCTGTTAACAATACATAAAACAATATTATCAAACAAGCCACGAGCAAAATGTATACAGATACTGCAACACAATTGTTTTGAACTCTTTTGTCAATCCGGTAACTGTTTGATAAGATAACGTTCGCGTTACGATACCAAATGCGCTCATTCGTTTAGGTTTCTTTAATTTATAGATTAACACAGAAACCGTTGATAAAAATAAGGTTAAAAGTTAACCTCATACTAAAAGATTTTTAAGTATTCAAAAATAAGTAACTTGCGACACCAAAACATAATTTTTAAAATTTTAAGTAGTTTTAATTATGTAAGTTTAATTGTGATTTTTAGAAATTTGAGTATAAAATTATATAACTACATTATTTAAATATGACCATTATGTAACGTAAATCATAAAATGTTAGCCTACATATCTAAAGCAAGAATATTTTTCTAAATAAGGTTTTAACAATAAAACCCGAACTGTGCGGGTACCTAAGTTATGTGTGAAATATCATTATAATTGTCTATACCTAACTACTATACATAAACTTAGCTACGTACTGATACTGAATACTGAAACATAAATAAACATCTTTAAATCCAACCAAAACTCGCTGATTTTATTTTAAAATTTTGCGTGTTTTACTGAACATTATTTTGAAATTATTGGCATCCGTTGTTCGAGGAATTATACAGAACAATAAGCCAAGTTAAGTTTACCAGTAACGCAAGTAATGTCGATTATATAATCATACAAAAACGAGTACTAAAAAATTGAGATTTTTTAAATCGTTACCATTGAATTCTGAAGTCACTTATTGTTATGATATAAACTGTACGTAACATAACATGTCAAAGATGCGGATGTTTTTAAAACACGTGCCAATTGAATACAATTATCACGTTAGGAAGGAATAGTTGAAACTTTGTAAAATAAACATTGAGTAACTGAAGTCATCTGTTTGATTTTTACACGTCGCTAATAACTAATTATAATCAAAATACCATCTAGAAACTTTATTTGAATTAAGAAAAATAATACTAAAATAGGTGTTGCCAACTGATGGTCTAGGCTAGTACTTTGGGTACCTACCATTGATATAGTCTTATTCGTAGTTCTTACATCTATTTTACACTAGTAAGCAGACCCCATGATTTCCTCTGGCGACTCCTATAGATACAAGCGAGTTGGAGGGACTGGGTAGGAAGTCATTCTTTCATTCGGACCCATTTCATATGGACTATTAGATGTATATACATAGTTGTACAGAATCTTATTAAGAGATGTCAATACCGGAATACTTGTAAAAACATATTCCTAAGTTTTTTTATAGATTAAGATATAATTGTAGGTATGTGTACAGATGCAGTGAAGTCAAAAAATTTATTGTGGATTTCTATTTTTTGCACAGTACATACCGCAAATTATTACAAGTTATGAAGGTTATTTGCTCTTTATGTTTTTTATCTTTGAATTTTATAAAAGCCACAAAGCGTTACTACTTCATTAGAGAACGTAATTTGTTACAGGTTTTTGTAGTTAATGTAAATCATAATTTTTATAATGTTTATTAGATTGTGTATGCTTCTACAGATGTAGTGATAAATAGATTATTTCTAACTTATCATTATGTGGAATTGGGGTTATTTTAAAAACATGTCATAATCAATCACATAAATGTTATATGTATTTTCGCAAAAATATTGACAATTTCATGTTAGATTTAAGTATGCGGGTTTTCCTGCAGCAAATGGGTTACATTAACGATTAAGTAACACGTTAGTTTTTGTTTCGCGATAGATTATTTTTTTATACAATCCAATAATAGTGATCGTCATTTTGTACAGTTAACGTTTTTTGACGACGACGACGTTTTGTTAACTATTTATCTAACTTAATAGAATCCAAATTTTGTGTTTTTAAATAATATTAACTACACAAAAATACGTAGATTCTAAACATAACTATTACTAACGAATTATCATGTAGGGGGCCACCAAATGGTTTATATTTCAAATTGTCTATTGAATTTGAGGTTAATTTTTTCCAACAAAATACTATAAAGAAAAAAATAATGTTACCGAATATTTTAACGACAGACAAGACAATGTTCACGTGAAATCACAATTTTTGATGAAGGTTCGACTGAAATCTGGTAAATCATAAGATAATACAATTTATCTAATCCTTAAAGATATTAAAATAATATCGTAATATACTAAGGTTAATCGTTTGTCAAATATGCTTTATTAAAGCGATTGTATCTACAAAATATCAAATAATAGTGTAAACAATAATTAATCTAAAACGGAACTAGTAACGACCTATTCATAAGATTATAAGATTTGATATTCCCGACTTAAATATTTAATAAGGGTTTGTTATAGATTTAAAGATATAAAAATAACCTTGAAATATTTATAGTAATTAAATGAATATTTAAATTTTTATCTAGTTATGAAACTCTATCATAAAATTGTAGTGAAATGGTACCTTAAGTGTGTTGTAAATTTTTTGCTTTAAGTGTGCTTTATGACAGAGTTAATGTATTTCAAAGGTCATGTATAAAGTTAACTATATTTCTGCTTGATATGGGACTGAGAGACAAATATGTTCAACCTTATATTTGTTCCGGTTCAAAGAAAAATCACCAAAAGTCTGTGACGATAATGCAAATACTTTGTAAGGGTAACAAACACTTGTAAGATATTTCAAATCACAAAATGTTTCATAGTTATTTGTTATTTTAAAAATAGTGTTGCAGAGAAACGTGAAATTGTAAACCACAGACTACAGCTGAGCTTTCATTTTGGTGAAAGTAACTGTCCACTTTAGTTTTTGTAACTATTATAAAGAATTTTTATAATATCGATTATAACTTTAGACAGGTAATTTTAAACGGGTTAAGCATGAAGACAAATCGTTTTTTTTATTACTCTACATAGGTTCTTGAATTTGTGTTAATCCAAGAAATCCCAAAATAATCTTTGATTACCTTGTTCTTATAAAGTTTATTACTTTTTGATTAGTTCTAACCAGTTTTATATTTTAATAATAACTACATTAGTTAATTAAACGTTGTAACTCGTTCAAAATATGACCTTAAATGTTATTTATTACTCATAAAAATCAGGATTTCCAAAGTAGTTTAGAAATAAAGAACTTATTATTGATTATGTCTACCTCGTCGTGACGTGATACATCTGAAGAATTAAAAAAAAACATTTACATATTAATATAAATTTATAATCAAAAACGTAACTATTGTGTTTATTTTTGTAATGTGTTTTTTTTTATCTTTTGCACTGCGGATGTCACGGTTAATAACATTTTAGATGAAATAAGAATTATACTCCAACATATTTGTTACGACAGAACAATTGTAAACTTAAAACTCTATTTTTTTTATAACACTTATTCAAATAAATACGAATGATAAATCTAATTTGCTATAAGACAAAATCAAGTTATTCAATTAAATGATAGGTAGAGCTGTGAAGACTAGTTAAACTCAATTTAATATTTAGTGTTTACCTTTTGATCGTTTACGTCGGTTTTATTCATGTTGTTGTCGACGCCACCCACATTCGACATAGCTGAAGACGAAGTTATTTCTATTATAAAGTAAATGTGACTTTAGTTTTTTCTGAACATCTTGATTCCAGAATGTACCTGAAAGTAAAGAAATCAGAACATCACTATGTATACAGTACTCGTATATAACTTAGTGAATTCGTTTAATAAAGTATGACTATAGTATGCCATAAGCGCCAATAGCCTAATGGTTCGGACTACCGATCTTGCGGTCAAGGGTTCGAATCCCGCCATTCGACTATTGTCGTGAACCATATCCTAGCACAAGCCTAGAGATTAGTGGGAATGGTTAAAGAAAATATTAGTAAACTAGCTTGCGCCCACGACTCCGTCCGCGCGGAATTAAAAATAACAAAACTGAGTAGCCTATGTGTTCTTCCAGACTATCCTCTACGTCTATGCCAAATTTCATCAAGATCCGTTTCGCTGTTTAGGCTTAACGGATAATCTAACAAACATCCATCCATCCATCTAAATTTTCGTATTTATAATATTAGTATGAAGCATGATTTACAAAAATCTATTTATATTATTACTTAACAAAAAAGGTTTGGTTTTATAAGAACTGGTTAATTTTTAGGTAGTTAAAAGTAAAATGGACGCATCCAAGTGGGTATATTTAAAATAACTGAAAATATAATGAAAGTTGTATTTTCCGTCTTCTGCGGGGCGACAGATGTTGCTCTATGGCACTCTCCTATACGTTACGTATTTTACGAGTTTGCTGCAATTTCATTTTTCAATGTAACTACAACTAGTTTTTCATTTAAATTATCGGAAACATCATATGATTCGACGTCAATGATAAGGATATGTAAAAAATGTGGAATAATAAATCTTAACTTTATTAATGTTATTATTTACGTTTGAAATTTGCGATACGTTTTAAACAAAATCTGGTTTTGTCACATACGGAAGAATTGACGTATTGGTATGACGTAATTATGTGGTCTGGAATAAAAATAACAATCAAATCAACTATTAATCAATAATAAATTCACTATTTTGCAAATTAAGATGGCTTTCTTAATTACAATTCGTTGTGTTAAAATTGTAAAAAAAAATTAATTAGCGAAAGTGACTTGAATAAGATAATCAAGAACAATGAACCGCATTAATGTGTTAGTTACTTCGAAGGGGGTCGAGCCAAGAACTCACGCAATGCCTCTTCAAATGAAAGTAAAAGTCAACGAACTTTGCAGCATACAGCCATGGAAATTACAGCTTATAGCAGTTATAGCATACTTAGGTAAGCGTACTGAAAAACCATTTTAACAATTCATTAATATGAGCCTGGTTTTTGCGACCCATTTAGCAACTATGCGTAAATCTATGCGGTATCGTACTGTAAACTTTATTTTACCTAAAGATACCTAACGTGGAGCAGAGAATTTCTCATTTTCGTTTCTCACTTAACACTACATTATACATCGTACTTTGATTCTTTGATGCACTGCGAGTACCGTAACCGTAAGTTATGTACGAAATGAGTAAGTCATGAATAATTAATATTCCTTTATGCTTGCATCTTAATCATCTTTTGTGTTTCAATAATAATAAATGTCTTTGTGGTAAAACGCTTTATCATTTCTAAAAAGTACACGTTTTCACTTTACACATTGATCGTTGTGCGAATAGAATTTAAAATACATACGTGAATAAATACACTAAAATACAACATACTGCGTTTGTAACAATGACTACAATAGCAAGGTCTTATTACAAGACTTTTAGAATATTAAATAAGAATATACGCGTTGATTTTAAATTAACGTGTCTACGTCATAAATATAACCGTTACATAACATCCATTAATAAAAGCAAAGCTAGTTTGGTACTTGAATATTTGAATGAATCGTTTTTATAGCTTATACGATAAGATAATTTATTTGCACAGTAATCTCTGATTAGAGTCATTGTTGTAGCAAAATAACTATAATATTGTTCATTAATGAAACTTTGTCCACTGTCCGACTTGGACTTAGTTGACAAAAAAAAGGATCAGAAAAAATGAGTTTCGATATTATATAATACTAGTTTTTGCCCGCAACTCCGTCCGAGTGGAATATAAAAAAGAAAAAGTGGCCTGTCTGTTCTTCCAGACTATCCTCTACGTCTATACCGAATTTCATCGAAAACCGTTAAGCAGTTTAGGCTACAAACTCTAACAAATTATCTAAGCTTTCGCATTTATAATATTAGTATGATTTCATAATAGGTAAACGTAGTATTAGAATGAATTAATCTGATTGATTTTAATACAACCTTATGTTAGTCTTGGTGTACAAAAGTTATGCAATATCGAGCTTTTATATTACAAGCTTTTTTTGCAAAGATACGGCCGTCCGGTATAATCTGTATATTCCGATTTGCCAACGTTTATAAACTTAATATAAACGATCCATAACGAAGCGATGAACTGAAACGTGCAAATATGACGCTTTCTTGTCTACAGCGAAGGCAGACGCTTATTGAGTGCAGAGAGAAAGTTACAAGATCTCCGCCGAAGAGAAAGCTCTCTTACGAAATGTCTTTTATTATCGATCGTATACATTTGCAAATTGCAATATTTATGTACATGTTATGATGTCGAGCATTAACCGATTATGAAGAAATTTGAATAAGAATGTAAATATAGGTACAGATTAGTAAAACATAAACATAATTTTTCGATGTAAAAGTGCCATTACTTAAAGTCGATTTCTTTTTTAACTTCCAAGTTCTAGGTAGAACAATCACATTCATGTCCCAGCCATCTAGTCAATTACAAAATATCTATCAGCATTTTTTTTCTAAAATATTTTATGTGTGTTTTACAAAGAAACACATTAACTAAGTACCTACATGTGAATATCGTGAAGTGTTAAAAACCCAAAACATTTGTTCGCTCACCGACAATCTTTTTACTTTGCCGTTCATATAGGAAGCGTCGTTATTTACAACTTAAGGCAAAATAAATATTAATATGCTAATCGGCATGTTCAAATGAAAGATTAGTCACATTTGGCAAACTGCGCGCTTGGCATGCGAGTCGGGTCCTCTCCAGTCAAAGGCAATGGTCAATCAGTCCGTCAAGTACAAGTTATTTATGTGTCACGGTCGATGTTCCATGCTTCAAAGACGATTGAACTTTGCTGTTTATGTATTTTATGAATTAAAATATACTCCACTTAAATCTATGTCGTGTTATTGATAATGTAAATGTTTTTGGCAACGCACTGTGGATGCCCTCTGCCCCACTTCGGTAATATACGATAATAACAAGATGTTTTTGGGCTACACTTATGACGTTTCAGTGTCCTAAGAGTGTAATTGATAAAAAAAAATATTGAAACTCGCTTACGATACAATTATTTAACCACTCGACATTGATTCTGACTTTGTTATTGCAACGCATGTCGGGTTCACCTAAAGTTCAGTAGAAAAATATTTATGTACCTACTTTTTGCGACCAGTTAATTGTAAAATTAACTGGAATATCAAGGCTAAATTACGGTAATAACACATTTTTAACATTGCCTTCCTTGTTCAGCTTACGTGTACTGAGACAAAGGAAGTTGTCGTTATTTTTCTTAACAATTCGATGATGATAATATAATTTAAAGGTGTTGAACAGCGTGTAATATTAACCTTGCATAATTTAATGTTACAAAACCACAAGCTTAAACAGTAATTAAATGACACTCAAGTAATCTTGCCAAAGACTGGGTTAACTGAATGTCTAGATTAGGCTGTGTAGTAGAACAGAACTAAAGCCATAAGGCAATTGCGATGGTTTAAGGAAAGGCAGTGTTTTTATAATAAAATTCAATTCGAATTGAATTCCGTGAAAATGTAGTTAATATCGTTAAATTATTCTTACGTAGAAATATCTTGACGTAAGCCAGGTAGTTGTCTGTACAAACTAGAATAATAATTAGCGGTTAATATTAAGAGGTAAATCGAATAAGCCTATTTAAGATCCCATTGGTACGTCTGCCTACACATTCTTTACTTATACTTAGTTATTTATGTTTTTAATATAACCTCACTATTCCTTTTTACACTTTGGCTATTGCTGGCTATCTCGAAATTCAATTCACCTTTTTACTCAAAGTTAGACGATGACCTCACGTTATTTAATTTAATAACCGATACATTCACTGCAGTGGAAAAAAATGAGTGTTTGTCATTTTCCGTTAGCTGTTGAGTTTTGGTCAGAGTCAAAGGACGCGAGGTAACGTAACCGATAGGTGAAGCGTGCAACAGAATAAATTAGGAACGAATGACAAACGACTCATGCTAGAACTTTCTTGAGACTTAAACCTGCCCTGTAGTACAATAAATAGGCATTTTGTACTAAAATAGAAATTCTCATTTTTATTTAAACGGATACGGAAGGAAACAGTTCGTGAATTAATTACAGAAAACCTCGACCCCTGACAACATAGTGCGAGGTAGTTTTATGTATGCAAATAAGTCCACACCTTAATCACTATAGAGGTTGATAATTTGGATACATTTCCATTTTCACGCGGTCGTTGACCCGGCTCGCTGAATGAGCTACAAATACAACTACTTTCGATCTGAATTTGATAAAGAAATAGGTTTATATCATTTGTTGACCTGAAACTTTGAAACGGAAATATCTTACAAACTATTACTTAATATTTAGTACATTAGTATATTTGTATTTTGTACAGACACCCAAGTATTAAAAATAACATAGTCATGGTTTACAATTAATCGAAGTTACGGAATAGGCTTTTACTTTTTTAACATGTAGACAGATCTACACAAAGGCTTTAGCAAATTTCACTTTACATCTTCGCTTTCTATTCTCGTAATTTTTTATAGAAATTAATTTATGATATAAGATCTTAAGTCATTCGGCATTTTAATAGTTATGAAAAGAATATCATCCATTTAATTTTAAAACAGACTTTATCATGTTTGGGCATATCGTTAATATTAGATTTTTGAATAATTAGAGTCTTTGATCCAAACAAAACCGTCACCAAAGAAAACCGATTTTTTACTGTTTATGATGCGAAATCGAATCGGTAAGTATGAAAACGTAACTTGACGCACAACGAAAC